GTGAGTCTGTGAAAGTTCTCAGTCATCCAGGTCATCGATGAGAGGTGAAACGTCTTCAAGCAACTTCAAGAAGTCCAGACGCTTTTCTTTGCAAGCTCCTTTGACTTCTAACGACTTCTCTTAAGAGAGAAAATACACTGACCCTTACTGGAGCAACACACATTACTGAAAAATGAAAAAGACCTATGAATATAACATAAAAGGTGCCCCAAATGCTTATGCTAGTTTGTTCCTGCACTTTCTTGCTACTGGGTGTAACTTTTTATGAATTAGCAAAGAGTCGTGCAGCCAGAGAAACACCCACTGTCTGCATGGTAGCTAGCCGATCATCCTTCACTCCCCTGGCTGCCCACCCCAAATTTTACTCCACTGCTCTTCTTCAAGTTTCTTAGTTGTCACGGACCCAGCTCTGGAGGACTCGGGGGTCCGTGAGCAGTGGGGACTGTTGTTGTTGTTGTGATTATTATTATTATTATTTGGGGTCTGTGTCGTCTACTGTTCTCTGTCCACATTGGTATGTAGGGCGTGTGTGTGTGTTTGCTTCTCCCCCTCTCCTGGGCTGTTTTACGGAAGTGCGCGCCGTGGGAAAGGCGTGACCTGGCGACTGTCGTCATCAGGAGTCCCTCGCTGTTGCCGGCCCACCTGCAGCTGATTACCTGCTCAGCTGTTGGTAATCATCCCCCCCGGCTAGACAGAGGTATTTAACCTGGGCGACAGTCGACGTGGGATTATTACTCCTAATTGGTATAGTCTGTGCGAGACGTGTGTTCTTGGTATTCGGCTAGCGTGTGGCTAATTGTGGATTTTCCTTCTTCCTCCAGGAGAGTCGAGCGAAGAAGCGAGTTGGGGAGCACACACACTAACGGAGCTACAGCACGGGACGCACTGGGAGCAAGGGACGAGCACTATTGGCAAATTGCACTTTTGAGTGAATTGTTGGACTTACCTGTTGGCAGAGATGGGCAGTAACACGTTACAAGTAATGCGTTACTGTAATCTGATTACTTTTTTCAAGTAACGAGTAAAGTAAGGGATTACTATTGCAAAAACGGTAATTAGATTACCGTTACTTTCCCGTAGGAACGCTGCGTTACTGCGTTACTAAAACCGTGATTTTTGCGAGAATGTCTCATGACAGTGACGTAAGCGAGTGCGCCGTTAGTGACAACAGCTGTGTGCAGATCAACAATGGATCACATATCGATTGTGGGAGAGAGTATGAGCGTGCAGCGTTTAAAGCGTGGAAGTACTGACCTTACTTTGAGTTTGATTCCATAAAAAGTGACAAAAACATTAGCGTCCGTTGTGCGTGGGAAGAAAACTTTTTACAGCGAAAAAAACCCTAAACTTCCAAGCAAGCACCGAGTGCGCAACGACGTAATGGGAAACTCACAGAGAAACTCGCGGATTCTTCAACTGACCGCGGCACACCTGCACCAGGGTAAACCTCCGCCTACCCCAGTCCTGCTTTACAGGTGAAAATAGAGCAACAGGACCGCTGAGTCTTTGACTTTATTTATTTTCTGCTGTGTTTTACTTGCATCTATTTGAAAGAGTGAGTGTAAACACAAAAAATATTTTATTTTATGTGCTGGAATGTGCAGAAAATAGGTTTAAATGTTAAACTAATTTATTCAAGTCAGAGAATGTTGCATATAATTAAATTTTTGCTTGATGCATAAAGTTAAAAGATTAAAACTGATAAAACAAGTTAAAAAAAAGAGACTTTTCCATTTGATTACATTTTGTATGATGGATTATGCAGAAAAAGTAGAATTGGGCTGAAAGATCTATCTGTCACAGGTCTGGGTCCGTTGGACCCAGTATGTGGAGTTTCATGTTTTTGTTATTCCATGTTTGAGGTTATTATGTTTTGGTTTTGGTTTGCATCAGGGATTGTTTTCTTGTTCTCTTGTTGTGTTTATGATGATGGTTATGATGTTTATTATTTGAGGTTCATGTTTAAGGATTTGTTCTCGGTTGTATCTCACGTTTAGTTTAGTTCAGGTTCCATGTGTCATTCTGTCTGTCTCTCAGTGTCAGGTCTGCGTCTTGGTGTGGTGTTCTCATTTCCTGTTCTATTGTGAAGGTCTGGGTCTCATGTAAGTGTGTTCGGTTTTACCTTTGTCTCGTCTTGTTGATTATTCCCAGCTGTGTCCACCACCTGTGTGTAATTCCCCTGTGATTCTCTGTGTATTTAAGTCATGTCTTCCGTCATTGTAGTTGCTGGTCCGTCTGTGTATTCCACCCTGCCTCATCTGCGTGTTCTCCCTGCTGTCCGCCGTTAGTCTCTTCTGGTCGTTCTCGTTAAGGTTTGTGCTCTGTAGTTTAGTTGATCCCAGTATAGTTTAGTTCCAGCTCCATTTGCCGTTTGTATTTACTTTCATGTTCAATAAACCACCTTTACACCTTCACGACTGCCTGCACTTGGATCCTCCTTCATTTCCTCCACACGGCTCACCTCACTCGCCGTGACACTATCCTTTATCACCTATTCAGGTTGTAAATCGTGTTTTTAAAAAAGTAACTAAGTAATTAATTACTTTTGAAAATAAGTAATCAGTAAAGTAACGGGATTACTTTTTTGGGGAAGTAATCAGTAATTAGTTACTGATTACTTTTTTCAAGTAACTTGACCAACACTGCCTGTCGGTTTCACTGTAAATAAAGTGCACTGTGGCATCGCAGAGTCCTGCGTTTTGGGTCCTATTTTCGTCATCCCCACGGACTGCCACGCAGACCATGACATTACAAGATGAAATGGATGTGTCATCTCCCCTGAGTCTTTCTTGTTATCACACACACTTCAATAAGATGAGCACAAAAGAGTTTGGGATCCTATTTTTGTGACATGTTTTTGGGGGCTTGTTTTGGTGCACGGTGACATACGGCCCTCTGACTTGCACAGGAGGCAGGTGACACTGACGAAATGTATTAGTTCTTCACTACAGGCAAAATTAGTGGACAGAACTTATGAGAACTATATACTGACTGTACACAGGCATGGAAAACAGTAACACCGTAGCTTTAAGGGTGAGACGTGCTCAGGTGGTGTACATCAACTTACAGTAGTGTGAGTGCACTCTCTGTCCTGTTCTGTAGGTGTGGTCTGAGCAAAAATTGTACTGAGGTACAGTACAGTATACAACAACAACAACAAAAAACAACACATTTATCTGCTATTAATGGAAAAAATTCTGTCATGTTTACCATTTTAAAAGGTCTTCCTTTGTGTTCCCTCACAGCTATATAGTCCTCCCACCAAGTGATGCTGCAGGCCCCCCACCACCTCCTGCCTGCCAGAGTAGGAAGTGCTAATGTCAGAAATGATTAGGACAGCGGGAGTCGTTACAGTGACTCTCCTGCCAGGGCTGTTGAAGATAACAGAGGTCTCAGGAGAGTCAGCAGCACAGACAGCTACCCTCTCTAGTGTCTCCTTTTAACCTCTCCATTTAATGTACACCCTTAAAAGCCTCTTCAGCACTCACTCAAACTGCTTTTGTTTATAGATTTTCTTCATTTTATGAATGGCACTATAGAGCTCTGCAGTGGGCTCGTAGAAACAGCATTTCTCAAAGCGACAGGCTGCAAAGAATTTTGTATGTATTACATAATATTTGCCATTATCTGCTGTACATTGCACACCTATCCCAGCTGTGATTAGACGAGAGCAGAGCACACCCTGTCACAGTCTGTCACAGCATGTTGGGAAATAAGCTATTATTATTATTATTATTATTATTATTATTATTATTATTATTATTATTGTTGTTGTTGTTGTTGTTGTTGTAGTAGTAGTAGTACAGTAATTGCAAGAGCTTTAACAAGTGAAGTAGACACGACAGTCATCTCTTGACATGTTCCCTTGTGGACATGTTGAGGTGTGGTTATTTCCACACATAGGGCAATGCTCTCAATTGATTACCTAAGTTTGCCCATATGTGATTTTAAGGCTGTAAAAAGCAACAAAAATCAATCATGGTCAAGGATTTTCAGCAACGCTGACCTTAGCTAAGAAAGGCAGATTTGTTAGTTTTTGTTGGTTTCTGTTAAGGTTACTAAAATGTGTAAGAAAAGACCAGTGCAGCTTCTAACAACTGAGCACAATCAATAGAAAGCAAAGATTATCTTTGCACTAAGTGACACAGTGTCAGTTACAATAACAGGTGACTCGATGGCTGAAGGTCACAGGTTTTATTCTTCTAACAAGACTCCTCAGTCTCAGTCCTGACTAACAGAAAGAGTGTAATATATATTAATGCAGTAATGAATATAAAATTAAATATAAAATTTTAATGATAATGAATATTTTAAATAACTAACCTTTGTGATAAGCCACTTCACTTTTTGAGGGTCTGTTTGGGCAAAGGTGACCCCCACCCCCATCATTTTAAAAAAAAAATGGCTGGAACATCATATGTGATTCTAAAAAGAACCACATGAAGGTTTCATCATTACATCTTCCCTGTGTAACATTATTAAAACATCTATGTACTCAGAGGATAACACTGAAAACCAATGCTGAGGAGCTGATTCTTGCCCCTGAGGCAGCACTACATCTGAAGTGGGACACCCAGAAACATGGTTTCTAGCATCAAGTAAGAATACATTTTTTAAAAAACAACATAATTCTTTCAATTTCAACATTATTTTCAGCAAGTTTTTGTATTTTTATATACATCTTACACTAGTTTAGCATTTTTGAACATGCTTAGTGTTTTCATTCTTTATAAAAACCATGTTTGTTTATAAAGTTTTTGTGAGACAGACCAAAGAATGTTATATTGAAGTTTCTTATGAGGATGAGAATTTAAAACTGTTTCTAAAATTATAAAATTGGTTTGTTTATTTGCTTTGTATAAAAGTTTAATATTTTTATTTTTTTACACAGCTCTCTGCCCTGGTGGTAATGTCTGTATCAAAAGCCAGATTTGCAGCAATTTAAGCATAAACATGAAGTTCTACAAACCCAAATGACAAGAAACAGAGGAGGAAAGAAAACATGCTTTTATTGTGGAAAGAGTGATGGTCCTGCACTCCAAAACACACGTGAGCACTCAGAGATTATTAATACACCCAGTTCTCATGGAAAATCAAATGAATAAGAACACTTAGTAAGCCCTTACCTCTCCAGCAGACCCTTGGGCTAAAAGCTCAGGTTGATTAAAAGCTAATAAGTGATCATTTCATTATTCATCCATTAAAGGCAGATAAAAAAAATTGTTTTTTACTTATGTCAATTACAACATTGTAAGGTTTACAGTGATTGCTTTGCTCCTAAGAAAAAATGCCAAGTGAAGCTGGTAACATATTTCAGTAGTGATATATCTCAGGTTTTTCTTGGATATGTAGTAGCCAAACTAAGAGCATTCTAACAACATTTCCTGGTGTAGTGACACATTCCAGTTAAAGCAGTATTGCGTGTAATTATTACCAAAAGTGTACATAAAATATTTCTGCCTGTTCAGACTTCACACAGAAGTTATGCATTCAGTAGTGCTGGTCAGACAGACTCCACAGTCACATCTTAAGGCCACAGGGTAGGTGTATGTTGGATCTACATTGGGCTGACAGTTTGGTAGTTTCACAGTCTCCAGCCGAGTCTCATTGTAAGTACAAACCCGCTGATAGGACTCAATGAAGGGAGGCTCCAGGATTGGCTTCTGAAAAAAACAAAAAGAAATTTATTTTGTTTTAAATTTATTTATCACTTTGTTGTAATACTGTCAGGGTTCACTGTATGGCAGGCAGGGTTGGAGCCAAACGCTAAAAAAAAAAAAAAGCAGGTTTATTGGTGAGAACTTTCAAAATAAAACAGGAATTAACAAACACTCAGACGAGGACCGAGACGTGAACATGACACACTGACAGAATCTATATACAGGCAGACACACACTGTGCACACTGTGATTATGGTATTTAACCGCTTGTAAAGTGTCCTTGTGTGTCTTGAAAGGTATGTATAAAAGTCTATTATCATTATCATATGCATACTATATATATATACACACACACAAATACTGGTATATTGCAGCACCCATGTATTTATGTAGGCTTTTCTGTTCTCATTCTCAACTGGATAACAAATAATGTGTTTCCAACTTTCGTGGTTGTTACGCTCCCTCTTCCTTCCTTGTGACTAACATATCTGAGTGTTTTGTATGCTAATTAGTGCATGCAAGCCCATGTTCCCGATTAGTGGCTGCATATGTTCCACATCCTGCCTTTCATCCTCATTGCTGGTTCTTGGTCCTGCATTCCACCATGACTGATTGGACCAGTGGCCCAATCCTGTCCTTCAATTAACATGCAGACTTAATCAGTGCACCTGTTTTTAAAGGGAAGCCAAACTATCACTGAGTGCTGCTGTGATTTACTGATGTGTCTCATTCTGGTGAAGGTTATGTGTGGCTTTGTTCTTTAAGTTACACTTACTGCAAAAACAAAGTCTTTGTGCGCCTCATACAAATGCAGTCTAGTTCTTTTTGCTCCATGCCTGTGTTGTTGTTGTATTTTAAGACGTTGACAAAATCCAGTTATGGCCTACTTTATCATTTCATATTAATGATAATTCTTTCAGCTTGCCAAAGAAAGCTGCTCCAGTTAGCTTTTATATTCCAAGCTGTCTTTGATGGGACATTTGTGACACATCATCACATTACATTAAACACCTTCAGTGTTCCTCAAATACTTTATAAAATGACAAAAGTTTCTCTTGATTCTATTTTCCAAAGGATGCTCAAATTAATGCAAATCTTTTGCAGCTGTTTACAGTTCCGTGGCCTGCACGTCACAGATTTAACCCCTGACCTCCTGGTGTCTGTCCTCAGACTCTCCCTAAAGCAATACATCAGCTCCCTCCGCTGTGCCCTGACCTCCCTGTGGGGGAGAACAGAGAAAAAGATGAGGCTCTTCCCTGAGGCGATCCAAAGAGTAGAACAACACAAAGCTCCGCTACGCTGCAGTAATAAAGCAGAGAGAATCATGAGCTTCCTAATGCCTCCCGTCACTGAATGCAATGTTCCAGATGAAACTTGAGATTTCACAGCGTCTTTTTTTCATAATAGTATATGGTGACTTGTGAAATCCAATTGTGTCTCTCATGCTCTTGAGGCATTGTGGAGGAAACCTCTGCTGTCACTTCAATCTCTGGATTCCACGCTGCTTCCCATTCCTGCAGAATGTTAACTCAATTTTAGCACTCCAAAAGTCTTCTGTCTTTATTCATTCTTATGCAAGTGTTTCACTTCAGACAGCCACTCATTACTATGTGACAATAATTAGATCTTGGTAGGGTATTGCAAACACTGCATGTATTTTTTCCCTTGGACATCTAACTGTAGCAGCTCAATCCCTGCTTGCACTTGCAGCTGACCTTGGGAGAAAGCGAAAACAAATTTTCTCCAGGGCGGGATCACCCATCTCTCCATCTCTGTATCTACAGTATTCACTTCATCTGTCTCTGCCTCTCTCTGTGTTTAACTGTCTACTAAACCATGTTGTTCATCTTTTTTTATCTATGCTGATAATTTAATTTTGAGTAAAGTTGTGAGTTATATCACCTCGTACTATAATCATATTCTTTCAGTCCCCCTTATCCTCCCTGTGTGTCTGTGTCTGGTACAGTGGCCCTTGTCCTCACCTCCCAGGTCTCACAGCGCCCCCAGCAGGCATCAGTGGTGATGTGCAGACTCCCACAGCCGGGCTTCCTGGCCAGGAAGGTGAACTCCCGGACTGCGCAGCCAATGAAACGCCGCAGGTTGATGGTTGACACACAGCTGATGTTGTCGGACTGTAGAGAGATCCCGAGCAAAAAGCAACACAGAACCACAGCAGGCTTCCTGAGGAAGAGAAGGATTTGTGGACGTAAAGAAGGAGGAGTGATTTAAAGAAGGCTTTAAATAGGATTTGTGAGGACATACTTGATGCAAGCGAGGAGGCTGACTCCCTAAATGCATGAACACATTTCTTTAGAGTGAGAGCATTCTTGCCTCTGCATATCGATGTGAATCTGTCCCACTGCACTTTTTTTTTGGTGTCAGTTATTTGTAAGCTTGTAATAAAATCAATTAAAATGGAATCATAGGTGTTTACTGTAAATCTGTAATCTTAAGATTACAGATGACCACCTTGTCCAATGTTGCTTTTACATGGCCTTAAATGTATTTCCTACCTTGATAATATTCAGAATAATCATTCCATTCCTCTGTGCCTCAACCAGGACACGTTCAGGAGACTCAAAGAGCAAATAAAAGCAGGAAAAGAGCGCTACATCGTGTCTCGGCTGACATTCCACCTCAAAAATGTAATAAAACCCTGAACTTTCCAGTCAAGTCATTTTCTTTAGCACTTGACTTTAAATGAGTTTATTCTCAGTGTGCTTTAGCTGAGATGATACCTCTTTAGTTATCACTTTGTAGTATTGGGTTTTTTTATGCAAATGTTTTAGGAATGAAGCCCATAAGAGCTGTATTGTAGAGTGTCAGGCAACGGTCAGGTCTCTGTTTTTTATTAAATCCCCTGCATTCCTCTATAATAGAAGTATGGTCCAGTACTGGACAGGAAATTATTGGAGTTTTAATCCTTAAAAATATAATTTTTCAGTTTTAATAATTTTGTAATTCCTCTCATTTGATACATTGTCTGCCAAAAGCACACAACATGTTAAAAACTACAGAGTTAGACAAATTAAGTTATTTGTAGAAACATTTATTGTTTTCTGGACTTGTCACCAATAAACTGTTAAACTGCAAATCTGTAAATCTCTGACATTCCTGGTTATCGCTCAGGACTAAAAAAAAGTCCTGCTATTTTGACTGAACACAGTTAGGAGCTACAATCCTCGAAGTTAAACCTCAGAAAATAATCCTGCATGCACTCACCACTGTGGCTGTCTCCTTTGAAGGGTCATCTCAGCTGTAAATCGCAGTTGCAGTCTGGTTTCAAGCAGACGTTGAAGCATCTGTTTTAGTTTTTTGCTGTTTAATGAGCAGCTACTCTCACTTTTTAATACTCGGATGTGAAATGATTTTTTGGCTGGACTGAATGAATAACATGAACCACAGTACTTGTCACTGATGGTTCCTTTGACCTGAACCATCTGCTAATGGATCTGGCAGTACAAGCCGAGGCTTTATATCGGCCCCTCGTCCTGCCAACCAGCAGCTGAAAACCTCACCTCGGTCTGCCTCTTCTCCTCCTGACTCTGTAAATCCCCCAAAGGCCCTTCTACCTGTCACTGCCCATCGAATTCAGCCACCAGCTTGTTCCCACTCCATTAGCTTGATTAGGGAGGCGTCTGCCCTTTTGTTCATAGTCGTTCACACGGAAAAGGGGGAACAAAACTCAAATGCAGTTCCTACCTGTGTCTACACTTACTCATTCAGGCTCAATTAGCTGGCTCCAGGTACAGACCCTGCTCCTGTTCTCACATGCCGACTGCAATTATTTCACCCATAAGCTCCTCCACAGCTGTCCTCCGCCTTACCCTGCTACTGTCTCATTCTCATTTTTTTTGTGTCATGTGTTTTGTTTTGGGGGTGGTTGTCCATTTTTGTTGCTAGTGACACTCATCACACCACTCTAGAGAGCAACCTGGCCAAGTCTACAGTTTCTACCACACGGTTCACTCAATTATGACGGAAAGGATACGTCAGCCCTCCCAGGAGTCAGTGACAGGAGGAGGAGAAGAAAGATGTGGAGACATGTAGAAGGGGATGAATTGCTTCATCAAGAAATTACCACCGTCAGGTACCCCTACGAGCGGCATGTGAAGCCAGTGGCGCAGAACTGTGCTCAAGTAGTTCAGGAAATGAATCTGTAGAAGTCGACTTGAAAGTTAAGGCCAAGCAATTAAAGTTAGATTAGCGAGAATATTGTGGAAGATGAGTCAGGGACAGGTTCACAGACTCTCTGTTCTCCTTGCTGTCATGAAGAATTAGCCTTACTGAACAATGTGCAGGATGTAGAATAACAGGATGCATGTAATTGGATAACTTTGGTGGAGGTTAATTGTGATTCAGTATAAAGGGAGTAAAGCCTAGATTTCCAAAATCCAGCTTTTATGTAATTATTATATACTGAAAGTTTCCAGCTTCATTTTCTTGTCATTTAATTACAAGGATGCTCATCTTCTTTATTAATCAGTCCTGACTAAAATAACTAGGAAATAAGCAGAAACCAAATCAAATTCAAAGGCTAGTGTCTTATATAAGGGTGAGTGCAGAGAGACTGAAGCCAGCATGCATGTGAGTGTTTCTGCAAGTGAGAAAGGAAGCTTCTGTAAGTGCAAACATGTAAAAACCCAATGAGATATTATTACAGCCAGTAGTTCAGCCCACGTATGTTGTTCTGCACCTTTTGATAGTGTCACAGCTATTATTATTATTATCATCAAGTCAAGTCAAGTCAAGTCAACTTTATTGTCAATTCTGCCACATGTACAGGACATACAGAGAATAGAAACTACGTTACTCTCAATCCCTAGATAAAAAAAGCAAATGAACATTTAAATAGCATTATGGTAGCATTATTAGGATTTCTTGCCAATGTTTGAATTCAACAGTGTTTAATTGGGAAATTTACATGAAAATAAAAATATAATTGCTTTTTGTAAAAATGAGCAGAATAAAGATAAATGAGTAATCCTAAATAAAAAGTAAAATGCTAGGTCTGGCATATCACTCAGCTTTGCTCTTGCTTGTGATATCCAATAATTGTGTAAGTTTCTAAAAGAAAGATAATATCTTTATTAACATTTTCTGTCCAGTTTACTCAGGAGATTCCTCAAGATAACAAAAGTCCTATCTCCAGGAATGACCTAAAGGTAATAAGTGGCAGTAGTGCTAAATATCTAAAGCAACAAACAGATCAAGAGACTATCATGGGCAGTTATTTAAGTATGTTGTTTATTTCCATGGATTGTTTGGTTATGTAGGTAAACTGAAGGGTAATAAAAGCAGCCCATCCATGTCCTTAATGCTTTCCCAGTAATCAATACTCAAATCCATGCAATCAATGTAAACATCTAAATTGATGAATCTGTTGGAGATTTTTTGAAATGCATTGCCACATGTTACTAGATTGTTTTTTAAATGCTGACTCTTGTACATTAAGACTTTACTTAAAAGTATGAAATCGTGTGGGTTTGGCTGTAGACGTCAGAAGCCCTGACAGGAATAAGATGATGTTGTGCTGACCTCTGGTGCTCACATATAATATTAATATTTTTCAATGATTTGAATGCAAATCATTCACTGAGTTATGCCATTTTACAGTGATATACAATTCTTTGGCAGATGAATCCTTTGAAATTATTTTCTCATTGTATGATTAGCTGAAACTACATGAAAATATTGTATCCATAAAAACTATGACTTGATTGGGGAAAGATGTTGGTATTGCAGTACATCTGTTAAAATATCCAGTTCAATCTTTTGCAAATGTCAGATGAGTGGACCTTAGCTGTATTTCTAGACCTGTGAGCCAGTCTCACTAACACTAACACTCTAAAACATTTAACTCATATCTGATGATTAAAATAAATCATAATGTGTTTAAATTGGACTCATGAATTACAGAATTTGTACTCAAAAGCAGGGCATGGAAAAAGGTTAGAGTTAAACTCAGAATGCATCTTTCATAAGGTTGTTGAAGCAGTGCACAAAACAAAAGACTAATTCAGTCCAGCAAACACATGAGAACAGATTAACAGCCACTGAGACAAAGGACTGAGAGGAAGACAGCTCTATATATACACAGAAGGGCAATAACAGGAAGTGGGCACAGCTGGGGAAAACAAGAAGCAAGTGCAGACAATCAAGACAATGAGACAGGAGTGGAAGTAAAACTAAACACAAGACAGTTAAGACAAGTAACTGCCAAAATAAAACAGGGTGTGAGAAACGCAGATACATTAATAAACCTAGGGGAGGATTAGACAGGAAACACAGAGGAAACAAATTGAGCAATAAAACTAAGAAAAGACTCGAAAATACTCAAAACATAAAGATCAGTAAACAAAACTGTAATACCAAACGAAGAACTTAACTTCTAAGGTGTGTATACTTACCATAAAAAAGCACTGCATGAGGAAAATCACATTTTATCAGCTAGCAGATCACAAAGAGATCACGCAATATCACCATATCCCAGTACATCAGTGGAAAATGTGGTGTTTCTTACTCACTGCGCTGAATGTGAATACGTGAACAGCCAAATGTTCCTTTAAATAAAAAGAATGTTTCATTTTCATGTGTATTTCCATAAATTTTATTAAATAATTACTGGATCTGTGATGTATAATAAAAACTTATCATATCATTACCATACCATTAGTCTCCTATAGTGCTATATAGCTCGTATTTTGCTAGGTTTATGTAACTTTTAGCTCAAATATGTTCCTTCTTTTGTTTACACTGTATGGTCATGCATGGCTACACCTCAGAAAGGATCTGTCAGTTCTGCATGCGCATGAGCATATATGTACATGTTGAAGCCGGACCTTTAACCCAGGTGACAGCCATCAGAGCCAAACTGGAGGGAGGTGGGTGAGCTGAACCCTGGCTGGTTTCTATTTTTAGTGCCCCACAGAGTTTCCTACTTGGCCCCGGCATGGCTCTGACTTCTCGGGTGACAGTCCAGTGGAGCGCTGCAAACTTCCAGATCTGTCAAACAGTGCTTCAGGTTTCATTTCCACATACTACAACAGAACCAGATCTGCTCTCCCACATTGCAGTTCAATAGTCCCTGGACCTCCATCTTTACCCCAAAACACAACTTTTTACTGTATGTAAGTACAACCAACTTTTGACATTTTTTCTGTAAATCTCTATGAAATGTCGAAGAACCAGCAGTACGTGCAGCTGTAAAGAATGTGTTGACTACTGACTGCAGTTTAGGTGGTGAAGTTTACAAAATGCGGCTGTAATTGACCCTGAGTTTAATTAGTAATGGTATTGCTGTCACCCGATGCAATTCCTAAGTGTGTGTGAGGAGAGTGTCTTCTCATTATATTCTTCCTAAACCTGCAGACCCATGGCTTCTTATCTGCCTTATTAAAAAGTCCTCTAGTCTTCCTCAAGGACTCATTATATGTCTCAACTGATCTGATCTCAGTTCAGCTGTACACACATGTTCCTTGCTGCTATTTTTGGGATCCAACAGCTTCATAACAGTGACACTATCTCACATTCCTGCAGTGAGAGCCAGCTCACTTAGTAGCACTTATAGACAACAGTGATAGGACAAGTTAATGTACAGTGGTTGGGATTTCTTTTCTTACATTTGCATATATACATCTATATATCTTATTTATATAGATGTATATATATAAGCAGTTCTGAACTGTAGCCTGTCTAGCAACAATTCAATGCATCAGTTTAGTAAGAATAACGAATTCCTGTTGCTAACTAAAGTTATTCTATGTTTAAGTGACTGATGTAAAGTGAATATGTATCAGCCCAGGACTGTTATGAGTTGCAGTTTATACATCATTTAAAGGCCTTATCACCCAGTTAGCAGATGTGACTTTTCTCAGTAGTTTGACTTGAAGGATTCTTTCAGACACAGTGTCTCTCTCAGTCATCACTTTAACTGAGCCACCTCTTCTTTGTACCTCATGTTTATCTGTCTATGTGTGAAAAATTGCCTGTTACCAAAGATCACTATAAGATTTGTATTTATACCAAGTATCACGCTATAAATTTGGACTGTTTGTTCTGTATTTAAGATATAAATCCAGAGATATTGCTTTTGGTTAGGATGCTTTTACAACAACGTCGTCATATAAATTCACATTTCCTTTCTGCTAAAACATGTGAGCAGCTCTAACTCAGCCCACTTGTAGGTGGTAGGATAACTGAAGTTGAGCTGAGAATCATTTTGTTAAGCACCCTGGATTAAAAATCCCTACAGTGGTATGTAGGGTAGTATAACATTTAGTTTTGTTTCTATAAAAAATCTGCAACCCTATTTCCTTCACTTCAACTTGAGCTATTTAGAAGAATAATTATGTGATACCATTTTTCTGCCCTAGCAGAACATTAATAAATAACAGCAGTTTTATGTTTTCCCTGTTAGCTTGTTAGAGTTCAGTGTCTTTGTTTTCCATTTCTTAGTGGAGTCATAGATAATGATACTCGATAGAAATCTTCTATCTAAGAGAAACTACCTTACTAACCTCATTCAATCAAGACCTCCGTGTTGTATGAACCTTGTGATACTGTGCATGCGTGTCAAAATATATTGCACTGTAGGTCCGCCTTCAAGATATTTGCCCCATATTGTCATCAGTGGTGTGTTCTTAGTCGAATGAAAGCATAGATTACCTCTCCCCTTTTCTAACATCTGATCACCCAGGGTGTGTCTGTGAAAGCTCTGTGTGGCAGGTTCGGCAACACTGTCGCTGTTGATTTGTTCCTTGGGCTCTCACAAAGAGCACAAAGACCTGCTGGAAAGCATTTAAAGAAATGCAGTGAGAGTAGGGTGTTGTTTCAGAGACAGTCATGGCATTTATACTGAGATAAAAGCTAGTGGCAGGGAGAGTTCCCTTTAGAGTCAAATCTCTAGTGAGGGAATGTGGAAGATGTTGTTTTCCCAGGTGTTTGTTTACAATTACTGTACAAACTGGATATCACTGATTTGTCTGTGGTTCATGTCAGTTTAGTTCCGTTCCAGCTTGTTGTGGTTAGTCAGAGCAGTACTGTCAGACTGACACAGAAGTAGGATCCTGGAGCCAGAGGAAGGTATTAGCCTTGCACACAGAAATGATTTTGTTTTGGTATCTTCATAGATTTTAATTTTCTTTCATTTAATTTATGCTAACTGAAGTCAGGTTTAACAGCTTCTTGTTTCTTGAATGGTAATTTTGTTTAGTCTTAACCAGTCCTTAGCTCATGGTTCAACTCTCACATCCAAGATATTTTCAGTTGGCATAAAGCTGTGGGAGCTGAAGGCTAACATTTTCTAGCATATATTGTCAATGACTAATCCATTATCCCTCAGCTTTAAAAATTAATATGAATACCTTGTAAATATATGGGGAATGTGTGCAGGGGTGACATGAAATCTGAACAAATTGGTACAGATTTTTTGAAAGATTTTGGTAAATATGGTCAATTTTTTTACTGTTTGAAAGTCTGGACACAGCGTGAAAACAGAGCAGAAGAAAGGCTTTCAGTGTAACACAGGCTTGTACAAACTCCAGTGACAAAATGATTCAGTTTCAGGTTTAGGTTATTTAATGTGTTACTTTCATCTGCACCACAGTCAAGAAAACTTTTTGTTGCATTTTTTGTGCTTCCTCTGAGGTTGAAGACAGCCTGTTTTCTCAGTCCTGAATAGGGCACAGTTATCTGTAAGACAAAGTGCTCATTTTGCTCATTCATCAAATGACGGATATTTTGCACGCTTTATCCTGTACTAAAACTATGTGTGGGATTTTTTTTTTTTTAATTTACTGATCAATACATGTTGGATTCTCTAGCACAACATATACACTTACTACTGATACTTACTGCTTGTGTTTTTCTTGGGTAAAGCTTTTATTTAAGGTTGCACTTGTAAGTCTGACACAAATAAACTGGACTGTTAAATCACTTTTGTTGTGGTGCTCTGGGGAGACTTAATACCTCTCTACTACTTCATGCCCTTCAGCTTTCTCACAGACGGCCACTTTAACTAATTATGCGATTATTAATCTGGATAAATACATGCAACAAGCATGTAACGCCAGTGCTTTGGCTTTGTGATGTGACCCCTCCCTGTGCTTTTTCCACAGCACCGTGTAATGTGTTTTGCTGCCCTTTGTCTCATTGCTACAATTAGAGCTGAGCAGTGGGACTTGTGACTCTCTGATAATGTGCCTTTGCCCGCTATAGGCTTACCTCTTTACTCAGTAATGACAGCAAGTAAAATTCACTTTGTGATGCAACTTTAATGGATGGTGTGATTTGATTGCTTAACTATGAGTCATGCATGAGTGTAGCACTCTATTGTTGTTGCCCTGAAATCTCAATAGACATGTAAACAACTTCATGCATTTTGTATTTATTAGATCCAGACAGTGAAAAACACACAGCAGTAAAAGCTGTATTCCTTTATTTTAAATTATGCCTGTGTAAGAAACCCCTGACATTTTCCCATTAGTTACTATCTCTTGTAATCTCTTGCAGTAAATATTTGTATATATTTTATATACCGCTCTCTCGGTCTCTCGCCTCCCTTGATCTATCGTTTTGCAGCTGACACGAAGCCTTGGGATAGCTCAAATGCTGTGCTATAGCAGTCCACATATGCACACATACTTGGCAGGGTAGCATTATCAGAGCATGGTTCTGTGGGGTCACATTAACAATGGATGTTAGTGGTTCAGTGTGTTTTTAGAAACCGCATGTGCTGCTTGCTTCTTATTGCTTGTGCAGCTGCGAGTAACCTTGGGCAAATATTTGTTTAATGCTAGTTTGTCAAATGATTTAATTTGATGTTATTATTAGTTATGGTGCTTTAAATAGTTTGCTGGAATTTTGCACTTGTCAGAATGTCAAGTAACCAGTAAGGAGTCATCTCATGCACTGACATCACAACAGCTTGTCAAGAGTATAAAAATACTTTTCCTGCTTTTTTGTTTTTATTAACTTTATCTGCACCGATATTCTCCAGTTACTAAGGATTTACTGGATTCAGCTTTAAATTAAATTCCTCAATACCCATACCTACTGCCAACACACTTTATAGCACTGGTAGTGTCATATTTGCAAATAGCCCTTTTAATAGAGTTTGTCAGAGCTAATGTGTTCCTGTGTACAACCAGAGTCTTTATTGACTTGATTAGGTTTTTTTTAGGAATTAACCATAAGTTTGACTTCTTCTGGCTTGTTAAGGATTCATATTTGTTTGGCCATTAACGATTCTGGGAGGAAAACATGCCACATAGGAAGCAGCATACAAGAAATATTCCAAGTGGCTCCAATGTTTCACGTTGCCAGTTTGAGTGAAATCACATTCTTCTGGCAACACATGCAGGTCACAGTACGTGAGCTGCTTGTATTTGATCTGATCTGGCTCTGACACATCTGACATTTGCTCTGACATATTGGTGAGTGTTGGCACTATTTCACACTGTTGTATTTTAGTCTCGCTCACCTGTCCGCTCTCCTGGACCATCACGTCAGTCGTGTTTATCTGCAGAGAAAAACAATCAAATCAAAGGGCTTTTTTATTTTTCACTGCTTGATTTGTTTAGGCAGGCTACTCTGTAAAGATGTCTAAATGTCATACATTTCTCTCAGTCCGCTTGTTCATATCCTAGAGGGGGAATGAACAAGGCAGAACACGGCCCAGCACTTCACGCTGCACTCAGTTTATACTGACAGTGTTTCATTGCACTTTAAAAGATGATAAACTCCTCTTTGACTGTATTTCAGACATGCTCACTGCCAGTCTGTTTGTCATAAAGCAAATGTTTTGTGGACATACACAGCAGCAGACAGGAACAATATAATTCTTTTCACACAAACCTCCTGGCTGCACCATTATCATTATTTGTGTTGATGCAATGGCTATAATACTGGAAATAGTAATAATTATTATAATAACCAATCTTAAATATAATTGTACCACTAATTCATGTTTATTGGATACATGTATCCACATCCCAAAATATTAAAGGTCTGCTGTGTCTGAATGGGTTTGGGTGCATGCTCGTACACCAGTTACAGCACATTAATAATTAGCCTCAAGCAACAAGCAGCACACACGCTTTTGCTGAAACAGAAGCGCTTGAATGCACAGATGTTTGCGGGCCTGTTTATCCGAACATGACTGGAAATGATTGAGAACATCATTAAACCTCTCTATGGTGTACCCTGCCTCTTGCTGTATGGCAGGGGGGTTAGCCTCCAGCCCATCTGCGATTATGTGCTGTATTAGCGATTGGATGGATGGAAGTTGAGTATCCACAGTAATCCAACAGATGTCCTGGGGTCTCATTTATAAAAGACTGCATTGTGAAACTCCACATGTTGTTCTCTGTCGAAATCATCCCTTTACTTTGAGAATTCTGCAGATTACTCAGGAGAGGTGGAGAGTCTTTCATGGTAGCTGATCAGTGGTCCTTTCTGTCATGTCCTATGGCAGCGGTGTTGCAATCACTATGTAGCAGTACACGCAAGTGACAGAGTATTGGTATATTTGCAGCAATCAGACTGATTGAGACACAATTTATAACAACACACAGTTGTTTCTTCCAACTTGGTCCATCCATCCACTCGTCCAGTTCAGGGTTGTGGGAGGGCTAAAGTCAGATGGACAGGGCGTACCCAGGTCAGACACTCATTCATATACATATTCAACAAATAGTCAATTTAGAATCACCAGTTAACCTAACCACACTAACAGCATGTCTTTGGACTGTGGGAGGAAGCCAGAGAGAACCCACACAGAAACAGGGAGAATAAGCAAATGCCACACTCCACTGGATTTGAACCCAGGACCTTCTTGCTGTGAGGCAACGGTGCTCTTTTACTTTTTAATGATTATTTGATCAGCCTTGCTTGTGTATTATAAATGACTCAATGGATTTACACCTAACTGAAAGGGACGAATCGTCCGACCTGCCCCATTCTGTTATCATTAACTGTTTCAACAAAAAGTGGCAACTGATACATAAGACTTAATTTTTTTTATTGTTTATAAAGATTTTGGTCACATGTATATTAGATATAGAAACTTTTGGCTATAAAGGTAAGGTACAAGCTTCCTCAGACTGGCACCAGCTGGAAAAAGTGTGATCTTTTAGTCTTAGATCTTTATAGTTCAGTCTTTAGTTCTTTTAGGCACTAATATTGATGCTTTTCTTTTTCCTCTGTATTTTTTAGAGCAGTGCCATGCTGCCGGGAGTCTGTGGATGAGAATATGTCGTCAGACTTCTACTCCAGAGATGCTTTGTTGGAGCAGGAGACCATCCCCCTGGATATTGACAATGTTCACATGCTGCTGCAGGGTCAGTCTCATTTCCAGTACAGATTACAGTGTAATGTTTCTGACTGAACAATGAAATATTTTCTACAAGAACAAGAGTAAAGCGTTTTTCAAAAAAATCCTAGCTTTAGGCTGTTGGAACTACTGTGGTGCTTCTTACCTAAAATGAGTAAGTGCTCATTGTTTCTGGTCTGAGGTCATGCAAGAGTAAAAAGAAAAAAAACTCCTGATTTCAGTCACTGTGGCAACATAATAACTGTTTGGCCTCAGTCTCACTCAAGGGAGCAGTTTGATGACCTTGTCACAGTCAGTCCACTGTGGGCAACATCTTGTTTCACTTTTACCACTCTTTTTGAGGTCATGCTTGGTTTAATCTACGGAAAGTGATCCGCTGTTCACTTTGAGACATGAGTCATGTTGCAAAGAGTCTTCTGAAGGGAAAGAGCAGGAGGGTGGTGCAGGCATGCAATAAACACCGCGCGCACATCAACTCACTGTATCTCGGGGCATTCATGAACGTCTTAAGCAAAGTATTGCACTGAGACTGTCGTTACAAGTTGGTTTTCAATTGGTGAGCCACTTCATTTTAAAGTTTTTCATCTCTGGTTTATGATTTTAAAAAATGTAACAATGAGTCATCTGCTTGTGACGTAAGTTGTAGAATAAAAAAGAACAAAACACGAAAAAAGTTATTATATACATTTACCAATTTATGGTAGGAGGATGGGCCGAAGAACAAGTGAAGTGGCTGAGCTGGGAAATGTCTTATTTACAAATAAGGCACATAAAAATGTGTACTTCAAGCTTAGGTAGATGTTTTCTTTGTGTGATCAAAGCCTTATTTGCCCAACTGCATTCTGTGATATCTTAACAAATATTATAGAAGCTACCATAGCTGACCATTGTCTGACCTTTGCCAGTTTAAAAAACAAAAGTCCAGAGGTAAACTTGGCAAGTGACAGAGCATCATCAGTTTTAATGTGAATTTATCAATGCTGCTTGGACCTAACATCACGGGAACCATTAGCACCAGAGTTTGACTTCACCGGACTGTAAACCAATCAATTTAGGTTGCACTTAGTGTCCATTACCTTTGAATAACACAAACCTATTACCATGTGAAAACATTTTACAACATGAAATGAAAAACAGATAATTTCATGTACATGTTTCAGATTTAAAAATCAGATAAAAAAAAATTCCAAGAACAGACTACCATTTTAGCTCGGTGGCTGGAGAGGAGTGCCCCAGGTTCAAGTCCAGCCTGTAGCTCTTTATTCCGTGTCTTTTCTCTCTGAGGTTGAGGTGGTTTGGGCATCTGAATAGGATGACTCTGGCGTATCTCCTAGAGGAGGTCTTTTGGAAATGTCCAAGGCAGGGAAACCCTGGAAGAGAGGAGCTGGAGGAGATGGGTGGGGAGAGGGATGCCTGCTTAGACTGACCCAGAATTATTAAGCATCCAAAGGTTTATCAAACATCACTTGCTGAGGAAGTCCTTATCTCCCATTCCATTGTCCTTGTCATGGCCCTGTGCATTGGACAGTCCCTGTTGTTTTGCCCTGTTTGTCTCCCTGTGTTGTCTTGCAGGTTTCTGGTAGACGGGGTTTATCAATGCAACAGCAACCTCCTGGTCAGTCTCGTTTAAGAATTTAAGAACAGGCTGTTTTAGCTCTGACCCCAGTGGCGTCTGTCTGATTAATGTGTCAGGTCCCTCAAACCAGGAAACTTGGGGTTTTATCCAGGATTTGAACCCAGGACCTCTTCCATCTCCTCTTCCATTTTCAATAATGCAGTTGTAACTAATTAGAATTTTCACCACATATATATGTAGCTATGCTTTATTTTCTACCTGACAGGTGCCAAAAATGCAGTTTGTGTATTTGGTGATATGTGAGCCGTTTGGGGATATTCCATTTACTGAAGAACCAAGACTTACTGACATTTGGTTGAGTGCGTGAGCATGAAAAAAGGATGTGTGTTGCGTTATGAGCATGCTGGCACGAATACAAGGTTACATATTGTGATTTTTTTGAGAGAGTATCTCCATGACATCAGCTGGAAGCAATGCTAGACTGCAGCACAAAAATTAATAGCCCACTTTAACCACACATCTGTCAAGACTTGCAAAACCATATTTGTTCTGTATAGTAATACATATCTAAAAAGACACTTGTTGTTCATATTTTTCCATAACTTTTCTTAATCTTTCTGTCCTTATTTCACCTTTTTTAATAGCCTCTCTCAGTCCTGATCCACCACTCTCCTTATTCTCTTTCTTGCAGCTTATATTTTTTAAAATGAGTGACTCTCAGATCTTTTTTCTCTACATCTTCCTTGACTCTTGATCTTTGGACTTTTCAACATGCTCATATGTGGTTCTTTCTCTGTACCTACCTCAGTTCTTTTGCCTCCCCTAACTTCTTGGGTCCAATCTGACTTCATTCCTCACAGAGCTATTTTTAGCTCATTTGCTCCCCACATTTAGAACACTGTGTTTTTTTAAGCCTTGTAAATGTTTTTCCAGTTATGTAGTTTTCCGGTTGTTCCCCCTTTTCCGGAGGGATTGTTTTAGGCCCACGGCCCCCTTGCCAGGCCTTTTTTTAAATAAGAGTGTGAAAGTCTTTTTTTTTTGTATATTTGAAGGTGTAATGATAAAAGAATGTCACTAAAAATAGCTCAAGCTATGTGTGATTGTTGGGTGTATTCAACACTTGTTAACTGAGTCTGGGAGGATATTTTCTCGCATAGGGTGCAGGGACTTGAGCACGATGTGTTTTGCATCGTGGATATACCCACTGGCTGTTTTAGGGAGAACATGTGATGCCACTTTAAATACCTTTTTAATAGGTTATCAGTACAACATTAATCATCTTTTTATGCATTGCCAAATAGAATAGGGTGCAGTTTTGGGTTTATTTTGACATGCACATTTACACTATTGCTAACACCATATTTATGTCAATGAGTGACTCTTTTTTCTTTCGTTTTTGCTTAGCTGCACTGTGTAACCTACTGGCTATGTTTCAGTTACCTAACTGGGGTTGGGGTTGCATTAACTTAGTCTTCCAAAATTCGTCTTCCATTTTGCTTGGTTTGCTTGAATTTGAGTCAGGTTTTCCAGCCTGTGCAGCATAAAGTACTTAGGATGCTGCAGGAGAACTAGCTTGTTCCAGGTCGTGTTTGGGCAGGAATGAAATCTCGGTGAGTCACATTTAAAAGAGGTGGAGCCCAGCTAAACTCACCTGCATCCCTGCAGGCAAGAATTGTAGACGGTTTAAACAAGAATTGTTTTCAATGGGATTTCATATCATATTTCATATAATCTCTTCTGCTGCAGCAATGGGTGTGTTGAATGTTGAATCGGTTTGGTAAAGCATGTAAGGGAAAAATGCATTTGATTTAAACAGATGTTTAACATCAGAGTTTACTAATACTACTAGTACCTGCTCAATCAGCATGACTTCTCACATTGTGGGTAAGTTGCTTGCATTTGTCTTTCTAGTAGTGAAGTTGATTGGTGTGGAATGAAAGTGACTGCAGAGTTTAGTGTGAAGACACTGTACTGTAGGCAGCGTTTGAATGTGGAACTCTTAAACCTAGTTTGACTGCTTATAGAAACTATACCAGGAGATTTACAGATATAGTCCCAGTATCTGCAGAATATAAGAAACCAGTCTTGAGTAGGAAGTAAATAGTAACTTACCTATACAGTATGCATATGTATGTATTCAAATTCATATATAGGCTTCGCTCTCTTCTCAGGACTGGGGCAAGTTTTAGATCTTATAAAACCTACAGTAGTCTAGTTTTAGAAGAGCTACTGCTGTAGAATGTAATTACGCATTAAACACAAAACCGAAGCTTGGCTGCTATTCAGAGGTTAAACCTTTATTTAATGTCTGAGCAACATTGTACTTGTAGTAGCTGAAACTACAACAAAGCCATGAAGGCAGATGGCTAATGTTAACATCTTGAAAAGGCAAAATACAAAAGAAAATGAAAAAGAAAAAGTTTGCTGAGGTGAAACCGAAATAATAAGCCAACCTGATGATTTTATGGTAGTTACTGCTAATTTTACTAGTTACTGTATATGTTAATTTTGGGGCGGTGATGTTCTGTTGGTAACATTTTCTATCAGTGCTTTGCATTTGTACAGTCGCTGGTTATGAAAGCTGTCCAGAAGGCCTAAAATTAGCATTTTAGGAAGCACACATCTGTGATAAACACATTTTCAAACGATAACTCTGACACTTTTGCTCCCTTTTTACATGTATTTAAAAAATTTGCCTTCCTGGTAAGGAAGGTTTGAAAGCCCATTTTAACTGCATAAAAAACATTATAAACTATAAAGCATTTTCCCCACCTGCACAGCAAAATCTCCAGTGTTAAATTAACACTTTTGACAGTGTTATATGTGTAAAAGTAACCTAGTCAGTTTTGAAGATTAACAATGGCTAACACTGAGCAGTGCTGATTTTCTAACACTGGAAAATAACTCAAAATGTTAGAAATATTCCAGTGTTAGAAAATCAGCACTGCTCAGTGTTAGTCTTTGTTAATCTTCAAAACTGACTAGGTTACTTTTACACATATAACACTGTCAAAAGTGTTAATTTAACACTCAACAGTGTTTTATTTAACACTCAGAGGTGTGGACCCATAATAGACACTCTCCAGTGTTAATTTAACACTGGAGATTTTGCTGTGTGTTATCTGGCAGCACAATTAATTCTTAACAAATTGCTCATAAAATCATGAAATATTAATAGGAAATCTTATTTAAAAAAACAAAACCTATTTACATAATGCTTATTGTACTCTCCTGATGGTCTTGGTGGGTGTGGCAGCTTATCAAGCGCCATTGTTAAACCCCAGTCAAGTCCCTTAATTCAAATCAGAGACTTGTTTCATAAACTGACAACTGACTGATTATCCAGTATCCCTTTAGAAATGTCTGAAAAACTGCAGAAATGCACCACATTGTGCATTATGCAGTAGTCCTTAAAAACACTATTTGCCACATGCAGAGCAGATAGAGGAGGCCCTGCTCTCAGTAGTCAAAATTGCATGTCAGTTGTCAGATTTATCACATCCCACAGACACATTAACTCTGGGGGAACAAGAAGCTTTCGATTGAGGAAAGCACATGATAGCAGGCTCTTACAGCAGGAGAAAGCCCCTCCTCTAGGAGCAGTAATCAAGTTTGTCAGCCAGTCAAATACAATATACAGTGCTGTGAAAAGGTATTCCCCCTATTGCAGGCATTTTTATGACTGCAATAGGTTGAGAACCAGGCAACGTAGCATGTTGAAACTGATACCATAGGTGCATCTACTAAAACTCTCAGACAAGTTTGAATCTCAGTCACCTTGACCTCAAGCTCAAAGGCAGAGGTCAAGTTTTCTTAAAATCTTGTAACTGCTAGCTGGGAAAGCTCAGCTAGCTAATTATCCACCAGGGAAATAAATACATCACTGTTGTCAGGTAAAACCCTTCATAAAGTTTCCGAAATGCTGTTTGTATGTGAAAATGTAAGACAAGGAACAATAGCAAGAAGACTGAATTAGGCAAATTTCAAAGTCTGAAGAGGTACAAAAACATCCATGTTAAACAGATAATGTGGTATGTTTTGGATCATGAGCTGTTCCTCTCATTTTCAATACTTTTGCCATCCTTCTGGTACAACTATGGTTTCATCTTTCACAGAACTGTGCCAAACCTTTTAAATGTTTTATGGCAAAGTCTAACGTGGCCTTCTTGGTCTTGACTGTATTCAGTGGTTTGCACCTTGCTCTAAATCCTCAACATTTCTCTTCATTAAGGTGTCCCTTGTAGACGTCCTCCTCTCATTTGGTTGTTCTTGATTAGATGTTGTGAAGCTGTTTAACCTTTAGTTGCCTTCTGTGGTCTTTTGGGCCTTTTGCTGTTGCTGAACTGGTCAGTGCATTGATTCTAGCTTTAAAATGTTTCTTTCTGCCATTGTTTGTATATATTTCATTTTCTATATGTATAGGCATATAGGAAATAAATTATATTATAAAAACAATGCTTTTGTTTTTATTGGCCACATTTTGGAAATAATACTGGTTAATGGGGATTCTAAATATCACATTGTAATTATGCATCCAAATATCATCTCACATTTGACCTCTGATCTCAATTCTATATTTCATATCTGCCTTTCTTTCAAGTTGACCCCTACAAACTGCACTACAAACTTCATAAAGTATGTTTAAAAAGAACAAAGAAAACAAAGGGAATTCATACAAAATATAATACTCTTGCGTTAAATGTAAATACTACTCAGTATTCTTAGATCACAGTATATGTGAGATTCTTGATTATGTTTTTAGGAATCCCCAAAAGTTTTTGCAACACTTTTTGTGATGAGTCATTTTCCGAGGTTCGTGGCTTGTTCAGGCAACACACAAACCAAATACTTGTGTTTATAATACTGCCAAAAGTGTTCCCATAGCAATCTGGGTGTACCCTAAAGAAATAAACAGCTTTTAGGATGCAGCAGTCTTATAGTTGCAAATGCTTGTTAATTTCGCAATAGGTGCACTTCTAGAATCTAGTGTTTAGATGAATTGCACACTGCTAATGTTTTTCATTCTGCTGAATAAAGCAGATTGTTTAAACCCCAAGGTTGGCTCAGATAGAACTGTTTAGGCTGCTATGCCCCCCTTTACGGTTATGTTGTTTCATGGGGGACCTTCAGTTGTGGTCAGATGTTTTCATACACTCATGATGGGCATGAATGTCATAAGTTTGATGCTTTGATTAATTTGATTTCTTTGAACTGCTGCTTTTCCATGGTTGAATGATTGTGCAGCATACATCTTTAATGACTGTAATGACAGCTTTAAATTTATTTTGTGTGTTTTTTGTTGAATCCACACAGGTTCACAGGAGTCTGTATACATACAGAGTCTGGAGTATACAAACAGCTCAAGTAATATTTGGTTAAATGTCTCCTAGCAAGCTACACCTTAACCAGATCCTCTTGCTAGCCATAAACAGGCTTCTGGCATAATTCAGGCTAGATATCTGTCCACTCTTCTTGGTAGAATTGGCAGGGTTAAATTAAATTGGTTGGTTTTCTGATATTGAACAGGTTTTCAAGCATAGTGCAGAAATGTTCAAGGTTGGGACCATTTCAAAAGTGTAATGTTAACCTGCTTTATCCATTCTAAAACCAGTTCTGATGTGTTTTTGCAATCAATGTCCTGCTGTCACTGCCCAGTTGTCTTCAAGTTTCAACTGTTTCGCTATTGATATGAGGTGAAACAAAAGACTTTGGATGTAGGCCTGTCATCATGCAATTGATTGTGTGCAATGTACCAAAACCAGTAGTGGCTGGTTCTGGTTTGTTCCGTTGGGCGGCTCTAAATTTCAGTCAAACTTGACGGTGTTGATTTTAAAACAAAGAGTTAAGCTCTTTGTAGTTGTTTAGAAATGGCACCATCATACTTCTGGAATAGTGGAAAGCCCCAACCTCAACTGTATTGAAAATTTATGCACTATGCTTAAAAGCCTGTTCCACATCAGGAACTCAACCATTTTAAATAACATGCCAGTTCTGCTAAGAATCAGTTATGTCAGAATCTTGTTGATGGTAGCCAAACATTTGCAGTCTAGGTGTAAATGTAACCAATTATTAGTGTGGTTATCTGAATATTTGTGACCCTGCATGGACCCTGTGGGGAAAATCCAAAACAAATTCAAGCTTGTGCACGCAATTCATGGTTTATAAAAGTCAATAAAGATGTATGACGTACAGTCATTCCACCATGGAAAAAGAACAATTCAAACAAAATCATTAAAAGCTCAAAGTTACCATGACATTCATGTCCATGATGAGGTGATGAAAACTTTTGACCACAACATGAACTATGTATGATGCGTTTGTGTAACACTGAATTACTTGTTACAAACTGGAGAAAAAGAGATACAGTTTGTTAATTAGTGAGACTTAGAGTGCTCTAAAGGATTATAGCTGAGAAGATACCATGTCCTTCAGTTCCAGTTGGATGCTAAGCATAGGCTTCTCATTGCACCTACTTATTTTCTATGCAGATTTGACTAATCTCCTTCAAGACAACAACTAACTGTCTGTCTATAAACCTGTGGTCATGGCTTGAAGAAACCTATAGTAAACAACACAATATAGATCCTGGAGTTTTCAAAAAACTTTCTTTTGAAAAGCCTTAAACTTTCTTTCTACCTGACCCTTGCTCTCTTAACCAAAGAGACCTATAATATTAGCAGTCCAAGGAACTGTGCCAACTCTCATTTTCTCTCAGTGTAAACAGTTCGTGTGGAGCATTATGGCTCCCTTTCCCAAGATTTGATGCTTTTGTGATTTGTTGTTTAAATGTCTAAGTTAATGCAGTGATTCTTCCTTTCCTACAGTGGAACAAGAACAGATTCAGAAGAGGACCTTCACCAACTGGGTCAATGCTCAGCTGGCAAAGGTGAGGCCTAAATGTGGGAACAGTATGTGTGAAGGATGAACTTACTTTCTACTGTGTGCTGGATACAAGCACACAATAGAAAGAAACCATGCATTAAACTGCTGCAGCGTGTTGAAGAATTTGTCTACTGTAACATGCAAACATAAAATGCTTTCCCAAAACTTTATACACAGTGAGTCCATTGGTCACTCTCACATAATTGGCTTTGTCAGACTAAAAGAAGAAGCAGAAAACATGAAAAGTCCTGAATATTGTTCTCACTAATGATTTTTAAAGATTATGATTCCTTTATATTAGTATTTGTGTTTTACGTAGTACCATGCAGCTAGTTTTAGTCATGTGCATTTCCTTTGAAAAGACATATTTTTCCATACTGCATGGATAATATATGAAGCGCACGTTCCTGACAGCAAAGTGACCTTGTCAGTACTGCACGCTTCCACTGTCATGGAAAGAAAAGCACAAGTAGCAGTAAAATGGCTCGCTTTCAGTAAACTTTCAACTTATTCATGACAAAGATCCACCATGGACAAAAGTTGTCTAAGTGTTGCTAAAATCAAATCATTATACTTCCACTGTAAGCATCTTCTGAAACTTTTCAAGGAGGCGAGATGTTATAGGAAAGCTGTCAAACACATGCATTGTGTAAAGGTTCTGTCCCCTGACATGACTCAGCAGAGACAGACTCTTTCTGCTTCATAGTGAAGGTCAGCTGTAAATATCACAGTGGAGGACAGTAGAGTGGTGGCTGCATACACAAATATAGCATTAAGGAGCAAGGTTCACAGCACACAGACAGACAGCAACAGACGGCCCACCAAACACACCCACCTAATCCACCCAACCAAAGGTCCGGCATGGTGGGAACTTTGCCAGTAAGCTAAATGGTGGAAATAGTTGTTAATCCTTTTGGGGCTGGTCACATTATACCTCACATTACAACCATGCACATGTGTATCACGTGTGAATAATATTTGGTGCAGAAACTTTTGTGTCCTCCTAGAAATTCAAAAGTGACCTTTTATGCCGGGATCGGAGTATATAATAGAAAGTCAGTTATTAGCAAGTCAATTATGACTTGATCTACATGACACAGGGCATTGGTTTGGGAATTATGTATGACATTCAATCAATCATCTGGTTTACTGTAGCTAGGAAAATACTGCAGCCTCTCAGGTAGTCAGTAATCCATGAAATCCTGGATGTTTTTATTGACATTGTTGTAAGTAAACACAGTTGTACAGTTTATTGTGTGCTGTTATATCACATTCATACTGAACACTGTCACACAATTTAGAACATAACATTATCTCACTTGCCTAAACGTGTTGCCAGTGTTCTCACAGAATGTGGATCTGCACATCTGGAACGTACTGACAGCGCTTGACTTATTTTTAATGTTAACGCCTTTAACACATAATACCCCATAATGACAAAGTCAAAACATTTGCTTAAAATTATTGCAATTAAAAAACAAACAAACAAACAAACAAAACAAGCAACTATAGCATGTACATAAGTATTCATAGCTTTGCCGTGACGCTCTAAATTGACCTTAGATGCATCCTGCTTCCACTGATTATCTGTCAGATGTTTCTACAACTTGATTGGAGTCCACGTGTGGTAAATGCAGTTGATGAAGTCAGTGGACATGATTTAGAATGCATGACAGTGCATGTCAAAATACAAACCAAGCCCTGAAGTTCAAGGAATTCTCTATAGTTCTCCCAGACAGGATTGTATTGAGCCACAGATCTGGGGAAGGGTACAGAAAAATTTCGGCAGCACTGAAGGTTCCAGTGAGCACAGTGGGCTCCAAGTTTGGAACCACCAAACCATGAGAAACTAAATTCTGTGGTCTAATGAAATAAAGAATGAGCTAACTGGCCTGAATGCCAAACGTCATGTCTGGAGGAAACCAGTCAGCGCTCATCACCTGACCAATACCATTCCTACAGTCAAACATGGTGGTGGACCCATCATACTGTTGGGATGTTGTTTGGAGCTGGAACTAGAAACCCAGTCAGGGTTGAGGGATAAATGAAGAAATGTGCAGAGACATCCTAGCTCATAACCTGCTCCAGAGAGCTCTGGACCTCAGACTGTGGCAAAAGTTCTTCCAACAGGACAGCGACCCTAAGCACATAAGCCAAGATGTCAAAGGAGTGGCTTTGGGAATCTCTGTGAATGACCTTGAGTGCCCCATCAAGAATCCAGATCTAACCCCTTCTTTGGTTTTTATTTGTAATACCTTTGCAAGAATTTAAAACAAACTCTCTTTGTCACTATGAAGTATTCTGTACAATTTCAAGGTGAAAAATGAATTTCTTACAGTTTGGAATAAGACTGGAACATGAAAAAATGTGGAATCCTGTGAATACTTGCCAGATCCACTGTACAGTGTTTGCTATTGTTGCGAGATCGATCAACTTTAGACCAGACAACAAACGACGGAGGCTCCGGAAAAGTGCAATCAAACGATGAGTTTTATTATCACAGGAGAACAACCAACCGTCAGCATACGGATTGTTTTGCTCTGACAAGAATACATTGGGTTCTGGTTTTATAGGATAAAATATCACACCTACGTCAATACAGTTCAAAAATACATGGTGACAGACGGGCAACAGTTCAACCCGTGCAGACAAGGGTACATCACGTACACTTCATACACCAACATATAACTTCTCCTTTCTACATTACTTGCCTTTTAAGGTAATAACTTCAGGTCTTAGCATCTCTGAGAGCTAAGAATGGACCCTCGTCATTAATCACTAAGTAGAGTACTTTGCAGCCAGTCTCAAACTGAAGCAGAAGACGCTTAGGCCTTCGCTCAGACCTGCTACTAGATTAATATGTGTATTGTAAGCGTGCATGCAATTAACCTGCTATGTTCTCATCTCCCCTCAGCATGTATCATCTGGACACTCTCACCAGTGAAGCTTAAAACCTTCTAAAATGGAACATCAACTCTTAACCAAGCACATTTATGCATTGTGTATAAAATGAACTCAACCTATAAAAATAGAAAGGTCAATGTGATGACAGACATATTCAATGCAATATAAACCCTGTAGGAAATATTACTGATAAATGATACTGTGAAACATGTTATTAATACATTCTTCATAAGGCAAATTATATGGTAGCAATAAAAGAATCTCTGAATCCCAACACTATTAATGCCATTCATTGTTTCTTTATTAAACCTGTTAAGTGTATCTGTAAGATTTTATCAATAATAATGCCCATGACTATGACTATGCAAATACAGTACACATCATTATCTAGAGAAACGTCCCCATGCTCAAAATGTCAGCTTCTAAGAAATCAACAAACAGCTGTCTTTTCTTTAAACTTTAACTAATTTGTTTGGCTTTAATGCCTCGAAAACTGCGTCATGCTATAAAGTTATATAGTCACGCAAAATTACAAAACTGGTCTCCACCAGTTACATGTGTTATCTGCACACGTCACTGCCCATTTTGTAAATTTTTGTCATCAACATTTTACATAATTTCTAAGAAGCATCATCCCTGAAATAATTTCCAAATTCCTGTGATTTCTGTGTTACCAACATATTTTCATACATAACGTTCTCTGAGTAAGAGGTGATTTGGAAGATACTTGGCTAGAAACTTGCTGTAAAATAACATAAACAAAATGTATATTTGTGACAGAGGAGGCCACCGTGCATGGTTGTAGATCTCTTCAATGATTTCCGTGATGGCTCCAAACTGCTGGACCTGCTGGAGGTGATGAGTGGCTTGCACATCGTAAGTCCAGTTTTACCTTAATGCTTAATGCTTTCCAACCAACAGCTAAGAACTTTTGTGATCTGAGTGATTCACCTTTTTGTGGTTTTCAGAGTCGGGAGAGAGGCAGGGGAATGTTTCAGCACAGGAGCAACATCGAGAAGGCTCTCTCCTTTCTTAAGAAGAAATCGGTAAACAATCTTTTAAAGGGGCTTAATATTACCACCAACTTTATTCGGAAAACTGTATTGTTGGTATTGAACAAAAATAAATTAAAGATTACACAAACACTTTTTTTCCCATCAGACTTTCATGTTTAGATTTTGATTCTAATATCTTTGAAAAACTCTAAACTGTTTTCCTTTTCCCCAGATAAAGCTAGTTAACATACACATTCCTGATATTATTGATGGAAAACCATCCATCATCCTGGGCCTTATATGGACTATCATTCTTCAGTATCATGTAAGATTGTTTTTCTTCCCCTTTTCTGTTGTTGTCCATTTTGTTGTGCATTGCTTATTACTTTGGTTTTGATGAGGTTTTTATTTCCTCATGCTAAATGCCAAATGTAAATCTATCGTGTAAAACTCAAACTGGCATTTGGTTATTTTAGATCGAAGAGCTGGCGAGCTCCCTCACCTTTGACTCCCGTCAGTCCTCTATGGAGTCTTTGGCCAGTCTTGACACGCGCTCCACCTTCTCAAGCCACTCGGCTAGCAGCAGTCCAGTTCCTCCCAGAGGCTCACCACTACATCATCGTTTTAGAGTCTCTGCCAAGAAAGCACTGTTGCTGTGGGTCCGGGAGCAGTGCCACAAGTAAGCACTTGATCAAGGGAATGGTAATATTTGGCAAACAGGCGTCTTAATGTATTTAGCAGCGTTTTTAGAATAGAATACCCCTTTATTGTCACCGTACATGTGTAGTGAAATTATGGGTTACACTGATGTAATTCAATTCGAATAAGTACATACAACGCTAAATCACAACAACAGTTGCCTCAAGGCGCTTTATATTGTGAGGTAGACCCTACAATAATAGACAGAGAGAAAAACCCAACAATCATATGACCCCCTATGAGCAAGCACTTTGGTGACAGTGGGAAGGAAAAACTCCCTTTTAACAGGAAGAAACCTCCAGCAGAACCAGGCTCAGGGAGGGGCGGGGCCATCTGCCACGACCGGTTGGGGTGAGAGAAGGAAGACAGGACAAAGACATGCTGTGGAATTGAGCCAGAGATTAATAAGAAGTATGATTCAGTGCAGAAAGGTCTACTAACACAATAGAGTCACATATATTGGTAGATCATAGCCCCTTGTCATCTGTGAGCCAAGTGTATGATGTGTGAGTGACGTATCCTGATTTGGGAATTATTACTCATTTCCAGGTCTGGGCTGAAGACCAAATCTAGATCAGGACTTTACTATGTGAAGAGTGGGACATTGATTCGTTGTTACATATCCAGTCTCTGTATTTATTTCTAAATGCTCAAAATATTACAGAATCCTGGTGCTTTTTCCTTGAAAGAGCAATGGCTATGTAACAGCATAAAGACTGCATGAAAAAACTGAACACATTTACTGTTTATGTATATTTTATACATTAAAGTCTTCCTTGACCCAGTACTGTGGGTTCCATACGCAAAGACTCAGACAGAAGGAGTCACATAGGACTGGATGAATAATAATATCAATGTAAATACATTTTCACACATTTTTATTGTAAATAGGTCGTAAATATGTATTTTTTTAAATGAAATAAATGTTTGTGAACACATTTCTTGTATAAAAATGTATTTTCTGATCTTTGGTTGCATTTTATCTTTTAATCTTACTGTTTCTTGTTTGACAAAGATTTAATCTTTTGTTACTTTGCTGAACTTGAACTGCTGAACTTGAACTCGTGCCAGTCTGTACTTTATGACATGGAAGTATTATGAAGTGCATTTATTACAATAGTAATAAAATAATTTCTTTCCTTCAGAGCTGGCTGCTCAGTAAACGTAAAAGACTTCAAGGTTAGCTGGAGGAGTGGAGTGGTTTTCCTGGCTATCCTGTATGCTCTGCGGCCTGACCTGGTGGACCTATCCAAGGCCAGAACGAGAAGCAACAAACAGAACCTGGAGGAAGCCTTCCGTATTGCAGAGAAAGAACTGAGGATCCCCCGACTGCTGGAGCCTGATGGTGAGGGGAAGAACTCGATTAGTTCAAAATGCACTTTATGACAACAGATACGAAATGGCAACAAGAGTGCTACTTATAGAACACACTTATACAAGCACATTCTCCTATGCATTCAATGCTTTGTTGTGTGTCTTTAAGCACTTTCTATCACTCATTACTTTTCTTAAAAGTAATAAAAATACGTTACTCCTCAGAGAAAGTAATTCGTTATGCTACTTTTAACTATTTTTTTACTTTACTTTTGCCTTAGTCAGTAAATTGACCTGAAATCTGCACATAATTACCAGCAAAAGGCATATAAACCTATAGGCTACCAACACAAATCCTAATGAAGACACACAAACGTTCTTTCTTTTAGTCTTTAAATATAAACAGAAAACTGACAACACAAAGCAAAGATGAATCCCAGTCCGAGGGAGACATTCTGCTGTAGAAACAGAGCTGCAGCCTGACTGCTGATCACTGTCTTTGTCAGCTGTTGAAATCCGGGGTCTGGCCTGTTGGCTGGGGTCAGCATGTGCTCAGCTTTAACATTATTCTGGGTTTTTGACAATGAAGTTATTATTGTAAGGTCTTTACCTTTCAATATAAAATGCCTTGAAATGACTGTTGTTGTGATTTGGCACTATATAAATAAAATGCTGGCTACGTATGATAGTCTTGTTCTGGCAAATCAGTTTGTAACTGATGAACCTTTTAACACAGGCGGTGACACAATTATAGCTATAATGTGATTACTGAATTCAGCACAGTTATGCCCTACGTTACAACATTACTGAAAAATGTAATGTGATTACATTAAGCCATTGCATTGGGACGCATTACACCCGACAGTTGTAATAAGTTGCTAAACCAAAAAAGTTTAATTGCATTTTTACGTATATATTACTTTTTTTTAAAAAAATAAAACTTAGAAAATCACAATAATTATAAAAAACATGTATTGTTATAAGTTTGTTAAAAACAACAACCCAGAACTCCAAGTATGGGAAAATATCCAGTATTGATTGCTCAATGATGGTTTTATCATCAGTAGTGACACACACTTTGGCAATGTGTTGCACAGGATTTCTTAATCAGTTTTATAGGAAAGCTATGCTTTTTCCCTTTGGGTCACTCAGTGGCTTATTTCTCTGCTCCTTTTCGCCTGCAACAAACACTCTTTTCATGATCAGATTTATTAAATATTTTTCTCACATAGATATCTAGCAGCAAAGAATGTGTTGCTGTTTACACGTTTGCAACTGCATGCAGAGTGTAGCCATACCCAGCTTGCCTAAAGGCAAGATGATCTGACGGTCTGCTGACTCACTTGCTGCTTGTTTGCTTCAGCCTTACATAAAACCCTCATTTGTTTCATCTGCTCTGCCTGTTACTTTAATAGCAGACTTTCATGTTTCTAAGACAGAAGAGTTACACCTCCATTCCTCAGCTTCCAGTATTAAACTCCACCTGCTTCAAGAACACACTCAGATGTTAGTCTAAACATGTCAAAGTAGTGTTGCAATGTGGAGCTGATCATGGAGCACTCTGATGTTGATGCAGATGTGGACGTTCGGGACCCCGATGAGAAGTCCATCATGACTTATGTGGCTCAGTTCCTTCAGTACTCCAGGGACCTGCCAGTGCCAGAAGAAGAAATGCAGGTCTGTATGAGTTTATTATATTCGACACAGGGCATCAGGTTACGCTGCAGAAACATTTGCAGAAAAGTTGTTAGTGTAGTCCTTAAGTCTAAGAATCAGTTCAGGTAGAGTTTAGACTTCTCCTTTACTAATCTAGTCCTACTTTTGTGTGCCAAGTCAACATGTGGTAATGCTGATCTCAATCTAAACCAGTGGTGCAGAATACACTCTATATATATATATTTGAATTGCATTATAACTGCATTAGCTCAGCGCAAAACAAACCCAAACTACACCTATTTTTAAGTAAAGAATGCAAATAAGTAAAAGTTTACATGTAGTGTTTATTTCAACAAAATTGGGTATTTTTAATCCCAGATATCTAAACCTAGATCTAAGTCTAAATCAGGCGTGTGTGCTCTTTTTCTTTGGCAGCTGTTCAAAATAATCGGTGCAGATAAAGTTTTTCCTTATTTGTGGACATAATTACAGACATGTTCAAACAGTAATCTGGTCATCAGTGGCTGGTTCCCCTTGTTCAGCTTGTGTGTTTTCCATTCAAACAATTAATGTATTGTTCTGAATGGCACACTATCATGTGCTCATCTATGATACCACTCTGCCACCTTATGCCCTGCAAACGCTGCTACAGAATGTAACTCTTATATATCTGTTCATGTTTCATTCCATGCTTTATTGTAAATCAGCCAGAACACACGTGGTTAATGCAGTTATAACTGTTAAGAATAAATAAGACTTTCTGTTCTTCTTACACTGAAATCAAATATCGTGTGTGCATTCAGTTGAGGTCAGCTAAATGTATTTGATGTGTTTGAGAAGACCACTTCTCTCTTGTCTTTTCCCTTCTCTCCTCTTATTTCCTCTCCTTTCCCCTTTCCCTTTTCCTCCTTAGACACAATATTTGACCCCTTCTAAAAGTCCTTCTCCTATCAACCTGCCTATCTACTACACCCCTGCTATTTCTGCTTCACCTCTCCGCCAGGTACACCCAATCATCACAACCAATCATCACAGCACAATGTCAATCAGCTGCACAATCCCTTTGTAGTACCCGCAAGTAACGATGGATTTTATTGCTGATGTTTATATCTAGTAACGACACGTCAGGGGAGTTGTTTATTCTGAGGATGCTTAACACACTGCAGTTTAAAACGAAGCTGCTCCGAGCCAAAGTTACCTTCGAATCACATGGTGGTTAAAGGCAGGACTGATCATGCAACACTGAACGAGTTTGCCCTGTTCTCTGGGAAAGGATCCAAAGCCACAGCAAGGGTGTTTTTCTCTTGCCTCCCATGAGAAGAATAAAGCGCTCATGGGGTGGTGCAGCAGTACTGGAATCGCCTCATGATAGATCAGATAAAAATACCTGTCAGCTTTGGTTTCTGACAGGATATCACCACGTTAAAGTATAGCTGCTGTAGACATTTGACATCTTAAGATATTTTCTATTTTTAACTATTGTGTTTTGCTTTTTGATTCTGCTGTGGGAGTGGGAGATTGTAGGAATATGAGTGAGTTAATTTGTTGGAATTTCACAAAGAAAGCTGAAAATGCATTAACAATACTAAAATTTAAGAGTATATAAGTGAAACAAATCAAATTTAGCAGTACTACGCTATGTTCCTTAGACAGTACATACCACAGGATCTGCATGACAGGATGGTGATCTGCTTTTACAGGAGAAGAGGTGAACAGTAAAGGTGGCAGCCTCCTTCAAAGTGACATGTTGCTATATTCTTATGAATTTTCAAAGAACAACCAAGGAGCCAAAACAAACTTATGTATGTGCGCTGCTTAAAATCAACTTAGTTAGCGCTATCATTCAGCTTTCTGCAACGTGTCTGGTGATTGGTGTTGCTTTTTACTTTACATTACACTCACATTATGCGTGCTTACATCACGTAAAACTTAATTCTGGAATCATTTGATCATCTTCACCCACTCAATTTTTATTGTGTCTTTCCAGGTGACACCTGACCGTAAGGCACAGGAAATGACATGCTGGCTGGTTCAGGCCTATGATGAGCTGCTGGAGGGATGGGACTCCACAGAAGGAGAAAGCTACTCAGAAAGATATAATGTATGTTTCTAGCAAGAGCTCATCAGGATGTGTTGCATTTTTAAGTATCAGTGCACAAATTAGGTAAATGTCTGTGAGTACAGAGGCCCCGGTATTATTTTAACAGGCCTATGATGTAATTACAGGCACAATAAGCACTGTCTGTATAACACAGATCTTAGTTAAAACACAGGCTAGTGTTCACATTTTTCAACAATCATTTTCAAATTTTGTGTGATTGTAGATGCCAATAACAGCTCGAGCTGATTTTCTTTTGGTGAAAATCGGGTCAGGGTCCTGATCATTCCTAAGCATTTGACTTTAACCTTCATTGTTAGTGCCCAAGAGCATAGTTGAGATTCAACTTCACTTTCAAGAAACCATATTGATCTAATATATCAGATGGAAAGAGTTATACAACACACTTTTTATTTTTTCATTACAATGCCCTACACTGTCACAGTAGCACCGTAATAGGCTGACATCATCATATTGTAATAAAATTATGAAACGTCTAAATTTTGGCACAGCGTTTAACGTTATAAACTGACTTCACGTTATAAATTTGTCACTAAAAAAGTATTTTCCTTCCCTCAGGTATTTCAGACCTTTCTGGTGTCCTTTAATGAGCAACGACGGCCCATCATGCCTTTGTTGACGGCCATGAGACGAACCCCAAAACTGAGCGATGAGCAACGGACTCTTAGAGAGGCGTGGGATGCTCTCACAGAAAAGGTTAGTTTTTGTTATTTTTTAATCAGACTAGAGAACCTTATAAATGTATAAATATGATCTATAGTCATAATACTGTACTGTACTAATATGACACTACAGCACCATAGCAACACAGACTCTTAAACACCCTAACCTGTTACATTACGGCTGATGTGTTATATTTGTCTGTAAATGCTTGTATATTTGTACATATTTGTGTATTTGTTCACTGCAATTTGAAGACATTTACTTTACTTGTGACTTCCTTTTCTCTGTGTGTTCATCTAGCTCCGTGAGTACAAAGTTGCTTTAGATATGAGTCTTCCAGCCCCCTTGGACACAGTAGCCTGCTGGCTTTTGAGAACAGAGGAGGCTTTGGCTGAGGAAGATGGCAACCCTCAAGACCACGGCCGTGCTGCTGATGAAGCGAGGGAGAAACACGAACTGCTCAAAGTAATCATTTCCAACTTTAAGATGTACTGGGAAACAATGTTGCTGATCTTAGCAAAAACTGGTTTCTCCGGCTCTTTGTAGACAGTGAAATGTAAATGTTTGCAAGCATATAAATATATATGTGCATGCTGTCTCTGCTCGTTGTTGCTGTAGGCTTGCCTGGAGGAGATGCCACAGCACGTGAAGACCTTCCAGTCCTTCCAGAACATAGATGAGTACGGAAACATGATGATTCCTACTGACAAAATGGATGAGCTCAAGAGGAGGTGAGGGTACTTTCTCCAGTGGCCTGTGTAATGAATGCATGCACAAACTGGATATACTTTTGAAGAGTATATGAATGAATTTCTTAGTTTAAGCTGAAAGTCATAGAAGGACATGTGCTGTCCTGACCTGGGACTGGATGTAATCAAGATCACTGCTTAAACTGAGAAAAGCATCTTATAAAGTGATAATTTACTTTCTGAAGTTGATGTGGTTTTATTTTTTAGTTTCTATTTAACGTTCTGTTGGCATCTTCATCAGATTTACCAGCGTCAGAGTGACTGCCAAGTATCATGGGATCAAGCTAGAGTACAGAGAGCATCGCCACACTGTTTTGGATCTGTTGGGGCAGATCAGGACCAAGCTTCGTGTCTGGAAGAGACCTTATATCTCCTCAGAGGCAGTCAGGGTGTTGCTGCAAGAGTGGCATGTGAGTAATCTTTGTTTAGTCTTTGTATTTTCAAAACACAATTTAATACTTGGGGGTGTGTCGATGCTTCTTAACATCTTTTTGTTCTTTCTTTGTATATATATGTATATGTTTATCTGAGCAGTACAGTAATTTCTGTTGTTGGAGTTACTAATCTTTCTTGGGGTATAATTATAAATTTGGACAATATCTATATATCTATGTAAGGCCACATAATAGAAATTCTAACCAGGATGCAGCTAAGACAAACAGATTCTGCACATAGTATCTTAATATACAAGACACACTATATATAAGACGGACAAAGCTTCCAGGTGTGAAGCCAGTGAGGAAGTGCCTTAAATATGCATTTTATCTAAAGGCAATGGAGGTTCATAGGAAAATGGCCCTTGATATCTATGCTCTACAACCTCGGTAAATACTTCAGTTGTGATCTCAAGTGGTAGTATGAAGTCATAATGAATACTATAATCATAAATTAGGGTAGGGTGTGTTTTATTGCAGGCGATGTGATTCGCAAATCACTACTGAACATGGGACGTGCCCATCGGTGTCTCAAATTTGGTTTTGACATGTCAAGAAAGCATCAGTGAAAATTCTCATCTCAAGGCCTGACACTGGAACTTTGGAAACCAATGGATGTGTCATGTTGGGTGTGTCCATCTTGTATATACAGTCTGTGATATACAGTGAAGATGTCTAAAATGGGCTATTGTAAATAGTTTTTTTTTATCAGGGTTTTCCCTCTGGTTCTAGTGGTGAATTTTATTCAGAGTTTTTCCTCTAACTTCTTCACTAGTTTATCCAAAAATGTTCCTTCTACTGTGTAAAGGGCATGGATGTTAGTGTTGACTGACAGTATTAATTTGTATTCATTTTTTTAAACTCAGGAACTCGTATACACACAAGAGCTGCCTTCCATGTTGGAAACAGCTATTCGTAAGCTGAAGCAGATTTCCGAGAAATATTCAAGCAAATCTGCCCTTGGTAAGTACTGTGATACTCTGTAACAGATATTTTGTATTTCTTCATTTATATTAATGTTTTTGATTCCCCATTAGAGTAAAAGTGTATTATTTTATTTCATATTATTTCTTTGCTCCATAGCTTCAGATTATCAGCATGTCAGTCAGCAGGTGAAGCAGCTGGAGGAGGACACTGCTGTTGTTTTAGAGGACGTGACCACAGTGAAAAGCACAATGGGACGGGTTCTGTCTGCCTGGGACTCGTACAGCGACTCCCTTAGTTCCCTGCAGGCTTGGCTTGAACAGTGCTCTGCAACACACAGCCACAGACCTGAGGTATGATTAACTCATTAAAGTATTATAACTGTATTGCTCTATGATAATAAATATGCCATAAACAAGCTAGTATAACTTGCTTTGTAATAGGGGATCAGTCTGTTATGACTTGGAATAACAAGTCAAGTAAAAAGTCTGCAATAATAACATCTAAATAAAATAATGTCTACATTATCCTTATAGATGATATATTTTAGTATTTGCCATTTTATTTACAAAAATTTCTATTAAGCTGACCTCCGCATCCATGGCTGAGTGGGGATCTCATCAGGCCCACCTGAATGAAGTGGGGAACTTCCTGATTGAGTCAACAGATCCTCAGACCAGCAGGAGCCTGGCAGAGGAGCTTCGAAAAGTCAACATGCAGTGGGCTGAGTTTGTCAAGAAAAACACTTTGGTGAGTCAAAGATCAAGGAAAACCCGATTTGTGTGCTTAGATTCTAAAACACCTTTATGACAAAGAATTTGGAAATGTTTGAACACTCAATCACACAAGATATTTTTTTGTTAGAGAATTAATCAGAATATTTTCCTGACATGAATTTACTTAAAATTATTTTTTTTTGATGAAGTACCCACCATATGGCACTCTAAAATCAACTTTTTATCTGTGCTTTTATTTTTTACAGAGGGTGTTTTTATCTGAGGGTATAGCTTTGTTCTTCTAAAGCGTTGGCCTAGTTTCTTCTTTTTATTTGGCATTATGCGACTAGAGGCAGCAGTGATTGTGGCAGCCTAATGTCTCATGTGTTTGGAATTTAAATGTGATTGTTCTATTGAAACAATGATTCCTAGGGAGTGACTCAAAGTTTAAAAACAGTGCTCCACCTTTACCTATTGTATGTAAGTAGCTGGACTTATAGTCTTTGAGTACAGTGCAATGTCATTCTTATATCTGGAGTTGCACGTTGAACAAGTGTTGTCAATTTCATAAAGTTCTTGTTTACTGTATGTTAATCTACTGTGTAATTATGAAATTAACATAAGTGAAAAGAGATGGAAACTTTAAACTGTGTTGTGTCCACAGTAGATTAACATACAGTAAACAAGAACTTTATGAAATTCTGCTGCTAATGTTTACATCATTGAATTATTAATAAATTATCTTTGTTATTTAACATGTTTATTTGTGTTTTTTCCAGGAAAACATTGGTGAGCCAATTGAAGTTACCCATGTAAACCCAGAGGAAATCAGAGCTTTGATCAGAGAGGGCACACTGATTCTCAAAGAGCCTCTGGATGTTATGGCGGGTCCTTTACGCACCTACAGGAAAAGAATACAGGTAGGACCAACGGCATCACTAGCAAGTCATTGCACTTTTTCAGCTCTAATGATTATTTTTTATTTAAATGACCAAATTAAATCTTTCTAAATTATTGCTCAATTTCTGCTCTTCAGTTTATAATGAGGAAGATTAAAGACATGGATCTGGATGCTTTGGCTTCTGCCCCAGAATGCCCAGCAGATCAGTTACAGAAACTGAAGCTTGCAGTACCAGAAGTATGAACGATTTCTCTTCTTTTAAAAGAACTATTATGATTGTGGTCATGAAGATTAAAATGATTATATCTGTTCTTTTTTTTAAAAAAAAAATCAAAGTAAGTCTATCTGTCCTTTGCTATCTTTTCTTTAATTGTCACCAGGTTATGCAGACATTATCTGAGGCAGAAAAGGTTTGTGTAGAGCTGCAACACAGTGTGTCTGGGCTGGACAGTCGATTGGCTGAACTTCTACATTGGGAGACTGAAGCCAGGGAGCTCTACCACCTGCTGAGGGCCACCGATCGGCAACAAAAACAGGTCCAGACCTCACAAGCCAGGGTGAGATGAATCACTGCATAGCAGTGTTGGCTTTTAAATCCTTTCATAAAGAAACATTTATGATTATTTAAAACTAACATCTTTATTTTCCAGGTCACTATTTCCCGTGGTCTACAGCTCGAAGGTCAGGTAGTCACAGAGGAGCAAGACCTGCAGGTGATCGTATCAACAAATCAGAAGAGCTCTCCCATCCACTACCTCCATGCCTCTGCTATGCAGGATCGAGTGCGAGCTGCTGTTGCTCAGTCACAGGCCAGTTGGGTTTTTTTTGTGAAGTAACCTTGTTAGACATGTTCTGACCAGACAAAACAGTATAATTGAAAGTACTTTATTTCTAAGATGCATGATGTCACTTTTAGGAAGCAGTTGGTATGCTAAGCAGCCTGGGTGCCAGACGAGACAGAAGCAGAAGTCCTCCAGCAGGACCTCCTTCAAAAGTCTTTATTCAAGATAAAGCAGTGCTTCAACATTTGAAACAGTTAGACACCAAGCATACAAAAACCTTTGTGCCAAAGATAGTGGTACAAGATTACAAAGAAGAAAAGATGACTTCTCCTCCAATGCCATACACCTACGCAGAAGCTGTGAAGCAGACCAGAAGAAAGTCGCCACCAGAAAGTCAGTTTCAAGGCTGGCCAATGACCACTGCACAAAAGACAACAGAGACTCCAGATCAAGGGCCACAGCAAGACCTACTCCAAGAGGGACTTAGAAGACAGGTGGAAATTAAACTGGGACAGAAAGAACAGGAAGAAATAAAGGAGGAGTATCTTCTACAAGAAGTTCAGCAGCAGGAGTTGTTCCCAGTGCAACCACAACCAAGTCAGCCCAAGCAGGAGCAACAAAAGGTACAACAGCAACAAGTTCAACAGCATGTGGTAATTAATATACAAGCTGAACAACAAGTTAAACAAAGACCAGAATCCAAAGACCAGACTCCACTTCAGGAACCAGCTGTAAAGAAAAAGGTTCTAAGTTCCCAAGAGCTCCAAAGCAGAAAAGCTCAAGGCATGAAGAACCGGCCATGGCTTCAGAAACCAGCTTTTCCAGAACAGAAAACTCCAACTCAAGAGCAGGATTTGACTCAAGATCTAGTTCAAACTAGACAGACACAGGCAGTCGGATCAGTTCAGGTAATTTCCCAAAATGTAGCAACCACCAGGCTACAGTATGAGGCCCATGCAAAACTGACTAAGCAGCCACAACAACAACAAAAAGTGGAACAGAAGCAAACACAGCAAACTGAAAATCTAGAGCATCAGCAACAAGACAAACTGCTACATCAACAACAGCAAAAAGAGCAGCATCAGCAAAAACAACAGCAAAAACAACAACCACAAGAAACTGTAAGACAAGCACAACAAGAATCAAATACCAAAAATAAATCACATGCTGTAACTTTGAGTCAACCTCAATCACAAAGAAAGGCCCCAAATCAATCACAAACCAATACTATGGTTCAGTCCCACATTACTACAGATACACAGCAACCATGTGTTCCTCAGTCCCATGATTCTGTGAAGAAACAGTCATCAACCAAGCCACAGACCCAACAACAGCTCCAGCTACAGGATCAGGCTCTGGTTCAACCAGCTGGTCCTCAGCCATCTAAGCAGCCACAGGTACTACCCCATGACCAATCTGTAGCTCAAGTCCCAATATGGGCTCAGATCAGACAGCCTTCCAGTGTTCAGGCTCCACTGCAAGGCCCAATTCAGCTTCCTGTACCATCTCACATTCAGCTTCGTAGTCATCCACAATCATGGGCCCCTGTCCGGCCCCCTTCCCCCAAGCCACCAACCCAGGCTCAGCCTCCAATGCATACTCAGTCAACAAACGTGGACCAAACCCATGCAAAAGCAATGAATGATCCTGAAATTCACCCTCAGCCCAAGGTCCAACCTCAAACACACCCTCAACCTAAGACCCAAGTTCAAATCTATGCTGATCAGTCTGAGACCCATCCCCAGTCAATGCCCTACCCACAAGCCCATGCTCATGCCCATGTTCCAACTAATGTTCAGCCAATGGCCAGGCTAAGTCAGGCCCAACCATTGACTCAACATCCAACCCAAGCCCAATCTATACTCCACCTTCAGGGTCATTCTTTGACTGATCCTATGACTCAGTATCCAACACATGCACAGGCACTGGTCCAGCAACAAGGCCATATTTCACAGGGGCACTTTCAAGCTTATACTCAAGTCATATCCTCAGTCACCCAGTCTATCCAGCATCCACAGGCTACAGTGCAACCTCAGTTATACTCCCAGGGTTATGCCCAAGCTCAGTCCACATCTCAGCAGTGGACAGATAAACAAGAAACACAAAATCAAGCATTTCCCCAGCAGAGTCATCCTATCCCGCAACCATATCCCCAGCAAATGGGCCAAGCAACACATTCTCAGGCTTATCCTACAGTTCAGACTCTATCACAGTGGGCCCAGCAAACGCCTCAGATTGCCCACCATAGGGTTTCTCATATGGGGCCATCATATACTCAACCGCAAATGCATCCTCAAGCTCAACCCCAACCCTGGACTCAAACACAGCAGCAAATTGGGCCCCATAGTTCCATGCATCAACACACCCAGATGAGAGCTTCTAACTTAGTTCAGCCACAACAAGGCCAAGTTCAGCAACAGACTTGGGTTCAAGCACCACTGCAAGTGCCATCTCAGTCTTATCAGCAGCCTCAGTCTCAGCAGTATGTACAGGTCCAGCATCAACCCCAAGCTCAACATCACTCTCCATCTCAGATTCAAACACAGATATCTCTCCAGTCACAACCATCACATCAAGCCTATCCTCAGCTTCCTTCACAGCCCCAGCAACAAACTTTGCAGGCCCAGTCCCAAACACACGTCCAGGCACAGCCATTAGTTCAAGAAAAGCCCTTTGCCAGGACTCAGGGGACTCAATCTAATATTCAATCCCAGCAATCAACTTCTCAGCCCAAGCATCAGCCCCAACTTCAGCTACAACCAACGATTCAGTCACAAACTCAATTAAAAGGTAACTCACCTCTACAGCCCAGACCTCTACAGCCAAAACAGGATGTTGAAATGACACCTCAACTAATAGTTCAGTCACCAATTAAACACATACCTGGATCACTGCCACAGCCCAAACCCGAATCTCAATTGCCACCACAGGCTCAGTCACTAATTAAAGTTAATGTTGAATCACCCCCTCAACCCAAGGTGCAAGCCCAACCTCAATTACAACCTACAGTTCAATCACCAACTCAGCCCAAAGTTCAGTCACCAGTCCAACCCAAAGTCCAACCAGTGTTCCAACCCAAATCTCAGGCACAGTTATCCCCACAGCACCATCCTCAGTTTCCGGTGTCATTGCCTCCCACGGCCCAAACAGTGCCACAGTCCAAGACTCAATCTCCCACACAGGCAAGACCTCAGACTCAACCACTTGACCCACCAAAGACTGAAACCCAGTCTCCTTTGAAACAGAAAATTCAACACTCCCAGACTATTCTCGTCTCTGAGATCGATGTGTTGCTTCAAACCCAGGCTGAGTCACCAGATCTTAATATCAAACCTCCTGCTCTGGCTCAAGCACCTCCCCAGGCCTACACAGAGGCCTACACTAAGGCACAGGCTTTAGCTAGAAATGGCTTTGAGGAGGCCAAACACTGCCTGCAGGCGCACATCCTGGAAGCTATCAACATCTTCAAAGACAGGCGTGTATCAGCTGAGCAAGCTTCAGTAAAGGAGGTAAGTTTAACCATTGGCAATGACTTCTGCACATTTCATATTTAGTGAATATTCATGATTGATAAGTTTTATTTGACAATTTTTGCGAATTTACAAGTCTCTTTACCTACCCTACATTTATAGCCACATTGTTTGATGTCTTAAATAGAAAGTAGTTACTTTGCCTTAAAAAAACATCCAACAACATGAAATACAGTTTCTGTAGAGGAATCATAATGTAACTATTTTGTGTTTAAACACAGAAAACTCTGAGGACACTTGATCCAGAGTTGCTGGAGGAGTTCTTGCGAGCAGCTAATGGCATGGAGGCCTTTTGTACCCCCTCACAGCTCAGAGATATGGAGTTCTTCACCCAATCTGTCAGGACACAGTGGGAGGTGGGGATTTTGATTTGTATGAATAGTCAAATGTTCACTAGTTTTTTTAAAGACATCTCTCAGTTAATTGCATATGCATATTTAAACCACAAACTAAAACTGGCAATTATTTTATGCCTTTGAAGCCTGTTTTTAAAGGAATGTTAGCAAACTGACACAGATGTAAACAATTCAACATTATTAACCTTTTAGTCAATACTATATTCTATCATGTTTCCTTTTTCATATATGTATATATATATATATATATTCATTGTATATATTATCTCCCAGGCCCTCAGAGCTGAGATCTCAGGCTTTTTGGAACAATTACAGTTTGAAGTAACAAGGAAAGACTTTAATGCAGCAGTCCTTCGGTGTGAGATGCACTTAAGCACCAGCTTAGAAAACCAAGCTCAGGTAGCTAAATGACCAAAGCTGAACTCTTGGCAGGGGTGCTTCAAAGGATGGGTATTCAGCCAGTTTTCTCTGCTCTGCTTGTCTAACTTTGTCTTTTCCATCTTCTTTGTATGCCTTCAAGGAAGCTGTCAGTGGGAAGGGTAATAGCAATACTTTATTCCAGCTGGTTTCTAAGAGAGTGCTGTTTTAGCTAGTTTTGTTTGGGTATGTTTACAGTTTCAGACACTTTTTATTATCTTAAGCTGAAAACGACAAACAACACCATCATTATCAGGACCTTAAAACAATGAATTAAATGAAAATATGTGCTAATGAAGATGAAATCACATCTTCTCTGTAAGCTTAAAACAGCATTCTTTTATGAATTTGTGCAGCCCATCTGTTGCCGGCTGCCATCTGGGGTCTTGCTCAAGTGGTGCAATGTATCTGCCAAACCTTCTTTTATGATATTGGATGCTAATAAGCAGGTCACACATATAACTAATTTATAGTTGTATAAATATAATAAAAACACAAGAAAATAAATAAAAAGCTTAACAAAAAAAGAAGATTTGGCTCAATGGATCGCCTGAAGTCAAAGCAGCTCTGCAATGCCTTTGTGCTTACTGTTTTCACATTAAAATCATTCAACAGGCTTGCTTCTCAGCAGACTTTGCTGAAGCAGAACAGCACCTGCAGGCACTGAAAGAGTTGTGTGACACCCTAAGCCCGGAGGATGCTCACCGCTTGGCTCAGACGCAGCTGAGGGAGTGTGAAAAGAGGCTGGCTGCCATCCAGCATCAGTTCAGTGGAGATCAAGACACACCACTCCCTGAATCTAGGTGAGGCTTTCCATGGAGGTTTCAAAACAGCAAGGACTTGGCATGCAATCTTCAAAACAACCGTTTTTATTTCTTATTTAATTCTTAATACTGAGTAAAACGTTTGGTTGTGCATGATTTATGTTGCAGATATTGTATTAAGTTACATTTACATTTATTCAAAATATAGTAGAAAGTTTAAATCAATTTCAATTCTGTAGGATTCCTGTTGCCTTCACTGAGGATTCCAACACACAGAAGGAGCCTACCAAACCAAGTGACAAACCTCAGGCCTTAGCTGAGGTATGATTCACTATTATTAAAAATTCTTATTAAAAAGATTCTCTCTATAGATTTAAACAGTCACAGCTCCTTTAACACATTTTAAGCAAGAAGAAATACAGACCAGTCTTTGAATTTAAATCCTGAAGCCGATACTGGGCGTGTGCAGATGTGTCTGAAATAATCGTTAACATCCTGTTGCTTTTTTCCAGGTGACCCAGGTGACAGTGAAGACAGTTGCTGTGGAGAGAAGGGAGACTGAAAAGCAGATGTCTGTGGAGGAAGAAGTAACCAAAAAGGAAGCTTTAGAAAGGTGAAATTTATCTGTCTTGTGTTTTATAATCAAAGGCAACATACAAATCAAAAAAACATGTTGGATGGTTTTATATTTAATCCTTAAATTTAGTTATTTTTGGTTTAACTCTCCAGATATGAGAATGCTAAGAGGGCTCTGCAAGCCCAACTAGCTAAAAATGAACAGAGCATCAAGGACGTCCCCTCTGACTCAGTCTCTCTGAAAGGCCTGCATACACGGCTCCAGGAAATACAGGTACAATGATGTTATAAATACCACTCTATCAGAAACAAACTGGACTGAAATATAAATGACATGCTATAAGAACCTTTGAGCAAAATGACTCAATCCCCACAACCGGCCAGTAAACTTGAGTTAAATTCCTTTCTTCCTAGTTCTTGAGACAAGAGACTGAGTGTCTTTGGTCTGAGTATGCAAACCAGTGCTCTCAGTGTTCCCAGCTGAGTGGAAACACTTCTCTGGAGCAGGAGAAAGCAGAGCTGCAGGAGCAGTGGCGCACTCAGCAGTCCAACCTTCAGAGGAGAGGCAGCTCGCTGGGCTCTGCACTCAGGCAGATTGACTCCACTGAGAATCACATGGTGGACTTCACCGACCGCCTGGACCGTTATCTGAGACAGCCCAAAGACATCACTGGCTTCACACTGGCCAACACTAACATTCTGAAAGATATAAAGGTCTGCTGTTAGCCATACACAATTTTGTTTTGTTTAATTTTGTCAGTCTGACACACAAATATTGTCTAAGCACATGTGTTAGCACCTATATGAAGCCTGGATTCATATAGTCAAAGAAGTCTTTGCAGAGATCAGCACATTTTAAAATTTCACATGGCTGGAAAAAACATACTGGTCAATAACTGGATCATTGAAAACAAGCTGAATGCATCTTGTACACATAAACAAGCTACTGATTTAGCATAAATCGTACAATTTGGTGTTTAATATTTATTATGTGTTGGATTTCCTAGTCCCCTGTATCATCAACTCCTAAACACCACAGTACAGATAGATATTAGACATCAGTGATGCTGGCCTTTATAAGATAAATCCAATAAATGCAAATTCTTAGAGATATAAGAATGTTTTTAAAAAAAAAAAAAGAAAAAGAAAAAAAAGATGTAATGTAAGATCTCACTTCTATAGGCATCTCACCTCACACTACACCTTGTGTGTTTTTTGCTAAAGGAACTGGATGACAACATACAGAGTGAACTGGACCAGTTGTCCCGTCTGGACCCTGAATCCAGCGACTTGGATCCCAGAGAACGCTTCCCTCTGTCCCGTGAGTTTGAGGCTCACAAAACCAGCTTGGATCAACTCCGGCAGCAAGTCCGGAAGAGCGAAGCAGCTGCCCGTGCCCTCGACCGATTTCTTATGTCTCTGCGCACTGTGGATGAGGATATCTCAAGTATCCCAGGTCCACCCTGTAGTGACGCTGTGGTGCTGCAGGAATGCCGCTCCAAGTTGACTCTGATAAGGCAGAGCATAGACAGTTTGAAAGAGAAGGCACCTCAGCTGGATCTACTCTTGCAGGGAGCTCGGCTCACAGTCACAAGGGATGGTATCCCAGCCTCCTGCCTCGATATGGTGAATGTCCTGGTGAGAAGGCTGGACGAGAGTGACAGTGGGCTGGTCAGCCAGCAGAAGGTCCTTCAGAAGGAGACCCAAAGCAAAACCCTGGGCCTGAGGAAGAGGACGATGCTGGGGGAGATGAAGAAGCTGCAGGATACGATTGAAGCGCAAGGCCTCAAAGAGCCCACCATGCCTGCGTTGCAGCACAGGTTTGTCCCTTTAGTGCGATAGTGCTTCTGCTATCCTGAAGCAGTTTTGATATGTGAAAATGGGAAACTACATGTAGTCCCAGAATGTACCGTTTAGATTTTGCAATATATTTGCAAAATTAAAATCTGAATTTGTTGCACTTTCCAGGCTTCGTGCCCTCTTGGATTTAGAAGGCCAGCTGCAGGCTCAGAACTGTGAGCTTCAGAGCCTCCGTGAAGTCCAAGAGAAGCAGGGAGGAGGAGAAAATCTCCTTCAGGAGCTGGAAGCTCAGTGGAAGGAGACTCAGCGGGCTTTTTCTGACAGGTAACGTCGGCACAAGAACCTTAAATTAAGACTCTGTCTAGAAAGGTGCTATATAAATAAAATTTTATTTATTTATTTATTCTTTAAGCCATTAATGAGCAACACTGACTTATATGCTGTCCTCAACTGCTAGAAATGAATGCATTTAAGTTCAAGTAAACTTTTATTATGTTTCTCTATACACTGCAATCCGAATGCTCAAATCTTCCTTGGTATTTTCTCACTCTTGCAGAAGGAAGCAGTACAGCACACTGCTGGAGCTTCTGAAGAAGTTCCAGACCTGCCGGAGTCTCCTGAGCAGCACCATCCAGAAAGCAGAGCAGGCAATCAGCGATAAGGCATCCTACATGGGGAAAGACAACCTACAGAGGAGTATGGCAAAGGTAGGTGTATTTGCATTGTCTTTCAATATATTCTGACTCTTGTATTGGTTTCCTAAAACAGCTTAAGGGCATTTGTTACTGTATGCACTAAAAGGAATGAACCAGCAGATGGCAGACACTTTCTAAATATCAGATTGGTGTGCTCGGTGTGCACTTACAAGTGCTGTATGTTAACACGTGTACATATGTTCAGGTCTGTGATATTAAGGAGGAGCTGGCTGGTCTTGCGGGGCCGATGGAAGAGATGAGAAGTGTTTGCAAACAGCTGCAGACTGAACTGAAGAAGTTTCCAGACTGCAGTGAATCTCCATTTGAAGCAGAGGCTGACACGCTGATGGACAGCTGGCTGGACGTATGCATCTATGCACTGACACTTACAGATGTTGTTCTTGTAAACAAACAGAGGAGTTCTACTAAAACTGTACATTAAGCATGCTGGGAAGGAGACTGATCAGACTCACTGACACTGACATCTTAGTATCTGAGTTAAAAATTATACCTTCACAAGCTTGTTGGATTTTTTAACATCCTCAGTAAATGGCAGCATTTTCACTGGGTGTCAGTCTGACATTGATCCAGTGTTTCGTGTCTCCAGAACAGCTCTGTCTGTGACAAATATTAGAAGTACAACTCAAAGTTGAACAGAGAAACTAAAGTCGTAGTTGGAGTGTGGTTGGAATATTTCTATTTATATATTTCTATATTGCTCGCCTTAACTAAATTTTAGTGATCTTTTGGTGCCCCTGCAGGTGACAGAGAAGACAGATGCCTACATGGATAACCTACGAGTGGGCCTGGAGCTGTGGGAGAAGCAGCTGATGCTGGGCGGAGAGGTGGACAGCTGGGCCGGGGCCAAACTCGCCCTGTTTGCAGAGAGCCATGCTTTCTACAATGAGCAACAAGTACTCACCATGAAGGTACTGAAGTAAAACCTGATATTTTTAACTGTTCTTCAATCATTTTTCTAATTGATTTTAAGCATCTGTTAATTTGAAATAATTCCAGTTTCACTTTTTGTGATTTTTTTTTTTGTCTGTACATTTGTGTATTTTGTTGTGTTCAGGATGAAATCCAGGCCAATGAGGAGAACATCACTCATTTTCACAAGAAGTCTATTGAGATCCAGGAGATGCTGCAAAGTCAGGAAGCTCCACTGGAGCTACAGGTGAGATGAAACAGAGACTTTTACAACACCATTTCATTTTATGTAGTTATTCATGCGTAAACTTTTTTAAAGAATTATTATTTCCCCTGTACCGTGCTTCTCTTCTCATCATTTCTCTGTTCCGTGTAGGTAATGGAAACCCAGCTGAGAAAGAGACTGGAGCAGGTGAAGGAACTGTTTACCGACTGCACAGATGTCTTTGAGGAGCTAATCGCTGTGAAGAAGCATCTAGCCGAGAAGGTAGAGGATTGTCAGACAGCGGTAGAGAACATCCAGAGTCGTATCAACGAGACTAATGCTTCAGGTCCAAATGTGGAAGCTCAGATACAGGTATGCAGCTGTTGACAGAGATGGACAGCATGGTGCTCCTATACTAGTGAGTTCTCCTGAATGATCACCACTTATAATGTTTTGTGTCTCACGCTGCAGGATCTGTGCAACGACCTGGAGTCTCAGGAAGAGCAGGCTGAGGCCGTGTTGAAGGAGGTGGGATTGGTTTCCAGTGTGGCCAGCCCTCAGGTGCTTGAGGCACTCTCTGTTGACTGCAGCAGGCTAACGGAGGCAATCTTGCGCACCAAAGACATGATCCAGCTGAAGAGAGAGGAGAGGGACAAAGGCCTGCTCAAGGTTATCGGAGGTTAGTATTGAAAATGTGCTTTTAATCAGTTGCTTATCAGAGGTCTGGCAAAAAGCATTGAATTAGGAAATACAGAGAGAAGACAAGCATCAATCACATATAGACACAACATAAGTACAACAAATGAAAATGAAACGTGCTTTTAAAAATGGTTCAAAAATTAAAGCAGATTAAATAAAAGACTTTTGGCTATTAAGGAAAGATTAACAGGATAACAGGCCTGATACTGTCAGCGTAACTTTTTCTGGCAACCACTGGACACTAACATCACTCAGACCGAAATCTCCACATGTCTGATCAACAAGCAGGATATTGTCTTTGTTTCTCTTTTGTTAAATAGAAATTTCTATATATTTGACTCAGATATTAGAAGGCAGGGACATGTTTTGGTCTCAGTATTCCTTATTTCAATTGTGTGTATGAGTAATTTAAAAAAAAATGTTCCCAGATGAGAAGCAGTCATTCGAAGAATGGTTCCAGGACTTGCAGCTAGCCGTCAATGAGTGCTTCGAGAACCCTGAGAGTAGAACAGATGTGGAGACGTTTTTGCAAAGACTGGCTGTAAGTCGATGGATAATTTTAAAGTTAGATAGATGCCATAGACTCTTATATGACAGATGGATGTTCATGTTTTCTTTCATCAGAGTTTCTTGAAGTCCAAGGATGCAGAGAGACGTCTTGACCAGCTGAAAGATCAGCTGGAGAGAGGCAGGGAGCAGGTTCCACCTCAGCAGCTCTCTGAGTTTACTGGGTGGATGCAGGAGCAGCAAGAGGAAGTGGTTACGTTCAGAACCCACTGCCAAAACCGGCAGAAACAAATGGAGTCACTGCTCAGCGACTTGGACAGGTCATTCCTGCTTCTGCTAATATAATAGCTATACTGTTAAACAACACATAAAACATTTTCTTGAGCATTTCCACAAACAGAATGTGTTTGTTTTAAGTTTTTTTTTTCTTTTTTAAAATATAGTCTGCAGAAGCAGCATGACAGCCTTCGTCAGTGGCTTCAGAACAAAGAAAAACAGTCTGTGGTGTCTGAGAAAGTCAAACAACTTCTGAAAGACCTTCAGGATGAGAGGTGATCCTCAACATTCATAAAACCAGAACCAGAAATATTCCATCGCACGAGCAGTAAAGTTTGCTGACTTCCAAGATATGCACATCTCTCTAATTTTTATAGTTGTTTCATGTTAACGGAAAGAGTCAGAATAGAATAGAATTAAGCACAACATAGACCTAAACCTGTCTATTACAGAGAAATTTGGATGCATAATATGCTGCGTGAGGACGTTATCCCTTCTATTTCTTTTGTATGCCGTCTTACTTGTCTTTGTCTGTCCATGCAACAGTGGAAGAGCCGAGACCCTCAGTGAGCTGCTGGCATCAATACGCAGACAAGGTGTCAGATCTGAGAGCCTCCTGAAGGACGCTGATAACTTGATACAGCGCTACAGAAACCTGGAGGGCAGAATGCTGAATCAGGCTGAGGCCCAGAGTGTGTTGGATGGAGAATACAATGTGTTTAATACTCAGGCAGAGAGCACCAGGACTTGGATCAGTGAACTATCACAGCCTCTCACCACTCCAGACAGAGACACCAACATGGAGGAGATGAAGTCCAAAGCACAAGTTAGTGAAAGTGGTGTCTAATCTAATAAAGCTTTCTTCTGGGAATATTTTGGTGTATTGTTAGCTCATCTCTTAAAGTATTAAAATAATGATATTCTGTCTGGAGTTAAAAATGTCGGACACGTTTTATGATTTTGTCACCAGGCCATCCTTAGCTGCAAACCTGAGGGAGACTTTAAAGTGAGCAGCTTGAGACGACAAAGCGAAAGCCTGTGTGAGAAGGAAGGCCTGGACGAGTCCAGGAAACAAAGTGTGCAGCTGCTAGTTAGAGACACAGAGAAACAGTGGACGACAGCCCTGCAGGCTGCTCAGGAGACTCTCAGAAAGGCAGAGATGCAAGCCATTTTAGAAAAAGACGTTGAAGCTTTCCAAACCCACAATGAAAGTGTCCAGTCCTGGATCAGAGACCAGGACCAGAACCTCAAGTCTATCTGTGGCCATGTGCAAGTTGAAGAAAAGCTTCAGGCAGCACAAGTGAGTGTAAATTGACATGTAGATGAGTTTGGTAAGGGTGGGTTGTAGTTTATAGAATCACTTCTACGGGCTTGTCTTTCAAGGATCAAAACAAAGTGGTTACCTAACAGGGTATCTCTTCTCTTAAGGCTTTTCTGAGCTCCAAGCCTAATGGAGAGTCAAAGCTCCAAGAGCTTAAGCAACTGTGCCAGAGTCTATGTGACAACCAGAGTTTGGATGAGAGCAGGAAACAAAAGCTTCATGATGCAGTCAAACACACAGAACAGGAGTGGAGGAAAGCCTTGCAGGGTGCTGAAGAGGCTCTCAAACAGGCAGAGACTGAAGAGGCCACTAAAAGAGATTTTGATGCTTTCAAAACCCAAAGTGAAACAATCCAATCCTGGATCAAAGAGCAGAAGCAGAAACTGCTGTCCCTCAGTGGTCATATGCACTTTGAAGAAATGTCTGAGATAGTACAGGTGAGTTTACAAGTTGGGACCTAACTTCAAAATATATTATAGAAACTGATGAAACTTGTAAAACTTATAAAACTGATATATGCTCATACTGTAGATCTCTACTGCAGTTTTTAATTGCAGTTTGTAACAGGAATTCTTACTTTGATTTATTTGATTGTGTCGTTGCCTTCAGGCTGTCATGACTTCCAAACCTGAAGGAGAGTCCCAGTTGCTCGACCTGAAGAGACGGGGTGAGAATCTGAGCAAGCTCTTGGAAGCCAGTAGGAAACTAGAGGTTCAGCAGCTAGTAACAGTCACAGAGCAGCAGTGGACAACAGTTCAACAGGCTGCCAATCAAGCAGAAGTCAGGAGTCTTTCTGATGACTTTGATGTCCAGAGTAAAAACACAGAGATGTGGATCAAAGAGAAGCAACAGAAGCTACAGGCTGTGGGCAGTCACACAAGAGCTGAAGAGAGATGCCACACAGCACAGGTTTGTTTCAATATAACTACATAAGTAGGGTACAGAAGTAGCACTGTTTTTCAATTTTTATCAGTGACTTCAACAAGACATCTAGATTGATTATGTCTTGAAATGACAGTGAAAACTAAAGTCACCATTCTGTTCTGAACAATAACAAATGATTCCAACAGGATACATCATAAACGTCAAGTAAGCCAGTTCTGACAATTGTTGTTTTACCGAGTTTCAAAAGAGTGAATCAAATATTGATCAGGCATAGTATTATGATCATTGGTCCCCCTTTTGTTGCCAAGACAGCCCTGCCTCATTGAGGCATGGAGTTCAAAAGACCCCTGTAGGTGTGCTGTGGTATATAATAATGGATTGCATTTATATAGCGCTTTTCGGGGCCCTCAAAGCCCTGTACAATTCCACTATTCATTCACTCTCTGGTGGAGGTAAGCTACAGTTGTAGCCACAGCTGCCCTGGGGCAGACTGACAGAAGCAAGGCTGCCATATCGCGCCATCGGCCCCTCACCAGTAGGCGGTAGGTGAAATGTCTTGCCCAAGGACACAACGACCAAGACTGTCCAACTCAGGGCTCGAACCGGCAAGCTTCCGAATACAAGAGGAACTTCCAATTCTTTGAGCCACGATCGCCCAAGCACCAATATGGCACCAAGATATTAGCAACAGATCCTTCAAGTCCTGTAAGATGTTGTGATCTGGGGAGTTTGGTCAAGTCACCTCCAACATGTTGTGCTCTTCAAACCATTCCTAACCATTTTTGCTTTGTGGCAAGGCGCATTATCCTGCTGAAAGAGGCCGCAGCCATCAGGGGATACTGTTTTGATGACAGGATGTAAATGGTCTGCCACAGTATTCAGCTAGGTGGTACATGGTAAAGTAACATCCACATGGATGGCAGAAACCAAGGTTTTCCAGCAGAAGATTTCCCAATCACACTGTTTCGGCATTCTTACCTTATTCCCACAGTGCATCCTGGTTCCCCCAGGTAAACAATGCACATGCACTTAGACATCCATGTGATGTTATAGAGCAGGGGTGCCCAATCCCGGTCCTCGAGAGCTACCGTCCTGCAGCTTTTAGATGCATCCTTGTTCCCAACACACCCGAATCAAATGAATGGCTTGTTATCAGGCCTTTGCCAAACACGATGGCATGCTGAAGAGGTAATCAAACCATTTGATTCAGCTGTGTTGGAGTAGGGATGCATCTAAAAGCTGCAGGATAGTAGCTCTCGAGGACTGGGATTGGGCAGCCCTGTTATAGAGAATGTGAGTCATCAAGACCAGGACACCTTTTTCCATTGTTCCATGATCCAGTTCACATGCTCATGTGCCTTTTGTTGGTGCTTTGGGCTACGTCCACACTAGCCCAGATAGATTTGAAAACTGCGTTTTCATCTGAAAACGCTCCGCATCCACACTAGCGTTTTCAGTCGTTTTCACAGAGTTGTGCGTCCACATTGAAACGTCCGAAAACGCTTACATTCCAGTACTGCGCATGCATGAAGCGCAAGAAGATTCGTCCTGCCTCATTTCTGTCTGCCGTTTATTTACTTTCCAGCTCTTTGAAACGTGCGGCAAAATGTCGAGGAAAAGCACCGAGTTTTTTAAATGGACTAACAATGAGGTGGAGTTGTTGGTGCGAGTAACACAAAAGTACAAAGTTGCAAAAGCGAGTGAGAATTAAAGAATTTGAAGAAAAGTTATCTGAAGCAGGTACAAAGTGATATTAATCTTTAATAGGGCTGTCAAAATTTAGAGCAAACAAAACAACTGCTGTATAATGCCCTCTGCTATCATCGGTCACTTGACTGCATCACATCACTAAAATGCGTCATCGAAAGTCTCCGTTTTCGCTGTCCACACTGTCATGTATTTGTTTTTGAAAGCGTTTTCAAAGTGCTGCGTTTTCCTTTGGGGAAAACGCCGTCTCAGCGTGGACGAGAGGCCAAAACGGAGAGAAAACGATGTGTTTTCAAACGAAAATGCATTAGTGTGGACGTAGCCTTGGGCAGTGGACAGGTGTCAGTATGGGCACCATGACTGGTCTGCAGGTCTGCAGCCCCATACACAACAAACTGTAATGCATTGTGTATTCTGACACCTTCCTATCAGAATCATCATGAACTTTTACAGCAGTTTGAGCTACAACAGCTTGTCTGTTGGACCTGGGCACATGGGTCAGCCGTCACTCACAGGGGGTCAGTAAGACTTGGCTGCCCATGACTCCATCGATGGTTCACCACTGTTCCTTCATTTGACCACTATGACACATACTAACTATTGCAGACCCAAAACAGCCCATGTTGGAGATGCTCTGACCCAGTTGTCTAGCCTTCACATTTTGGTCCCTGTGAAACTCACTCAAATCCTTACATGTGCCCATTTTTCCTGCTTCTAACACATCAACTTTTATTACAAAATGTTCACTTGCTTGATAATATATCCCACAATAACGAGATAATCAGTCCTATTCACTTCACCTCTCAGTGCTCATGATGTTATACCTGATCAGTATATTTGATTTAGATGATATAGTGACCTTTTGTCATTAATACTTTTTTCTTTCTTTCTGGTTTTTTCTTAAGGCCCTCTTGACCTTGAGGCCTGAAGGTGACTCTAAGGTGAACAACCTGAGGAGACAAGGACAGAGTCTGTGTGACCACAAAGATGCTGATGAGGGCAGGAAAGAGCAGGTCAAGCAGACAGTCAGAGACGTGGAGGAGCTTTGGAGGGCAGCTCTGCAGGATGCTAAACAGCTTGAAGCCGCAGCAGAAGCTGAGATTGCCCAGGAGACTGAGAGGAGAAGGTTGGAGGTGAGAGAACTTATTGTCAGATGGCTGCTAACTCAGCATTAAAACATCTTCTTTCTGACTCTGAATTGACTTGGGTCCAGAGTAAGATAAATAAAGGTCTATTTTGAACTGTGAGTCAAGCAAAGTTACTCTAGGATTACTCAGCATTATTCATTATTCAACATTTATAATAGAAATGTTTACCCATCTTGTGGTGTGGCATTGTTGCACAGTGTACTCATTCATAAACAGGTGGGAGTAAAACAAAGTCCCCTCTATTTCTGATGAATCAAGTGTATTTCACATATTTTCCTTTTTGACAGTTGCAAGAATTTAATACCTGTCAGCGGGAAACTGATGGCTGGCTAAAAGACCTCCAACAACAGCTGAACTCTTTTGGCAGTGGAACCAAAGTCGAGAACAGACTGCATGTAGCACAGGTGAGCTTAAAGTCACTCTGTGTCTGCTGGATGCACAGTTTGTTCCTGTAGCATTATTGCAATAAATATAATATAATAAGCATAGTTGGATAATTGTAGGTTTGTATCTAGCTAAAAGCATGGTATAGTGTTGCTTCATTATCAGTCATGTGAAGCCAATTTTAAAGATGATTTTTGTTCCTAGGCCATTATGAACTTCAAGCTTGAAAATCTCAAGATAAAAGCCCAGAGTTTCCTTGATCACGATGAACATAAAAAACAAGAGATTCAACAAAAAGTAAGAGACACTGAGGAACAGTGGATCAGACTCCAGAAAGATGCTAAAGAAGTAATGGTTCTGGCTGAAAGGCAACGCGCTCTGGACAGCCAGCTGCAAGACTTTGAAGCCACGAGAGAAAAGACCAGAATGTGGTTGAAAGAGAAGCAGCAGAGCCTTGTCTTTCTGAGCAGTCAGAAAGACCCAGAACAGATCATAAGCACTGCACAGGTGAGTTTGGACAATAAAAAGTTTGGTGAAGACATATATGATACACAGGATGCTGACATAAAATGTATGTATATTGTTTGGTTAAAGATTAGATTAAAGTATTTGATTTGTAAAATTCCCTTAAGTCTAAATCCTTCATTTGAACACTTTAAAATGTTCTTGTTGGTCTTATTGATAGTAATATTTTTTTCGCATTCTCAGTCACTGCCATGCTTTATCTTCACTGCTTGTTTATATGACTACTTTGCATGTCAATAAAAGAGAAATTGAGCTAAGACTTGTTTTTATTTCCAGACCATCCTGAGCTGTAAGCCTGAGGGAGACTCTAAGCTGGAAGAACTAAAAAGACCAAGCCAGAGTCTGTCTGACCAAGAGGACTTGCCTAAGACCGTGCGGCAAAAGGCTCTGCAAGCAGTGAAAGACTCAGAGGAGCAGTGGAGGACAGTCCTGGAAACCGCTGAGAACACTCTACAAAAAGCTGAGGTTCAGTACTCACTCTCCAAGGAGCTAGGGGCTTTCTGTGCTCATGCGGGAAGCACTAAAGCTTGGATTACAGGCCTGCAGAAACAAGCTGATCCCATGGGGATGAGCACTCAGGGCAGCAAGGCTCAGCTACAGGACAGACTGAGTGCAGCACAGGTGAAACATGGAAAATAGCGAACTATAGAAAGTGTTCTATGCTACAATATTATAAAATCACAATACAAAGCTGAAATTATTGAGAAAGGTATTGAGTTTTTATACATAATATACATATATGACTAACTGAAAAAAATGTCTTTAGGTCACCTTGAGGTCAAAGTCAAGTGGTGAGACACAACTGTTGGAGCTGATGAGGCGAGCGCAGAGTCTCTGTGACCACAAAGACCTGGAGAAGGACAAGAAGCTGGAGGTTCAGCAGACAGTCAGAGATACAGAGGAGCAGTGGAGGGCAGTGCTGCAGGCTGCTGAGGAGACACAAAGGTAGAAAAAGCTGTGTTGAGCTACAGGGGAGGGAGATTTCTTCTGTTTCCTATGTAGAGGCTAGGGTTTCTATCTTTTCATAGTGCTCAGGTTCAACCCTTTGTGGCTGCAAGGTTACAGAGCAAGGTTACAATGTGACTGAAATAAACCTCTACATAAAGCTGACATATTTTGTGATAAATTCAGGTTTATCAGGCCATAGATTAGGTCAAACTTTGTAATTAATCAGTTTTTCAGAAGGTTCTGTTCAGATTTTCTTGCAAAATCCTCAAAAAAGCCAAATTCAATTCAATTCAATTTATATAGTGCCAAAATCTCAAGGAACTTTATATTGCACCGTAAACACACTACAACAACAGACAGAAAACCCCAACAGTCACGTGACTGCCTGTGAATAAGAACCTGGCGACAGTGGGAACGAAAAACTCCCATTTAACAGGAATAAACATCTGGCAGAACCAGGCTCAGGGAGGGGCGGCCATCTGCAGTGCTCAGTTTGGAATTTATGTCCATGGTGTTTCTAGGCAAGTGCAAAGGCAATTATTTCTTCAGTTGCTGCATTACATTTCATTTCTAAGTTTTACTTTCTAATATCTATCACCCATTAGCAAGTTGCAGAGTGTTGTGGAACGCCTGGTATCCTGTCAGTACCAGCGAGACCAGGCTGCGGCCCGTCTGGCTGAGCTTCAGAAGCAAACATCCAATCTTCCACGTGTCTTCCCCTGGCCAGGCCTGGGAGAGCGGAGGCAAGCTGTGGAACAGGCCCGAGCCCTGATTGATCAGATTACAGCCTTAGCCCCCGTCCTCACAAACGTCCGCACGCAGGTAATTACCTAACATGAAATTTTAGCTAAAGTTGTGTCAGTTAATAACTTCTGGGATTGTTAAAGCTTGAGTAATATGATTAAAAACACAAGCCTATAACTCACTTTGAGTATTCAGTACGACTAGGAGAGGGCTATATAAAATCTCAACACATTAATCAAAGAGGAAATTTGATCAAATTCACCAGTCAAACTTTAAGTGTCTTCAATGTATTTCACTGTTTTTCTCAAGGCTGCAGAGCTGGTTGAAGTCACACAGGACCAAAGCTGGTCAGACCCCACCTGGACAGCTAAGGAGGAGTCTATCCCTGCTCTGCTGAAAGAGCTCACTGTGAGTTCAGCAATCTGTCTTCACATCATTCTGAGAAAAAAAAGTGAATTATTTAAAAGTAAATGTTTTTTTACTTACTTACATTATTGTTTTACTCTTCGCTGTCCAAATATTTATGACTTGCATCGACACAATCTACTGATATACAGTGGGGCAAAAAAGTATTTAGTCAGCCACCGATTGTGCAAGTTCCCCCACCTAAAATGATGACAGAGGTCAGTAATTTGCACCAGAGGTACACTTCAACTGTGAGAGACAGAATGTGAAAAAAAAAATCCATGAATCCACATGGTAGGATTTGTAAAGAATTTATTCGTAAATCAGGGTGGAAAATAAGTATTTGGTCAATAACAAAAATACAACTCAATACTTTGTAACATAACCTTTGTTGGCAATAACAGAGGTCAAACGTTTACTATAGGTCTTTACCAGGTTTGCACACACAGTAGCTGGTATTTTGGCCCATTCCTCCATGCAGATCTTCTCGAGAGCAGTGATGTTTTGGGGCTGTCGCCGAGCAACACGGACTTTCAACTCCCGCCACAGATTTTCTATGGGGTTGAGGTCTGGAGACTGGCTAGGCCACTCCAGGACTTTCAAATGCTTCTTACGGAGCCACTCCTTTGTTGCCCGGGCGGTGTGTTTTGGATCATTGTCATGTTGGAAGACCCAGCCTCGTTTCATCTTCAAAGTTCTCACTGATGGAAGGAGGTTTTGGCTCAAAATCTCACGATACATGGCCCCATTCATTCTGTCCTTAACACGGATCAGTCGTCCTGTCCCCTTGGCAGAAAAACAGCCCCATAGCATGATGTTTCCACCCCCATGCTTCACAGTAGGTATGGTGTTCTTGGGATGCAACTCAGTATTCTTCTTCCTCCAAACACCACGAGTTGAGTTTATACCAAAAAGTTCTACTTTGGTTTCATCTGACCACATGACATTCTCCCAATCCTCTGCTGTATCATCCATGTGCTCTCTGGCAAACTTCAGACGGGCCTGGACATGCACTGGCTTCAGCAGCGGAACACGTCTGGCACTGCGGGATTTGATTCCCTGCCGTTGTAGTGTGTTACTGATGGTGACCTTTGTTACTTTGGTCCCAGCTCTCTGCAGGTCATTCACCAGGTCCCCCCGTGTGGTTCTGGGATCTTTGCTCACCGTTCTCATGATCATTTTGACCCCACGGGATGAGATCTTGCGTGGAGCCCCAGATCGAGGGAGATTATCAGTGGTCTTGTATGTCTTCCATTTTCTGATGATTGCTCCCACAGTTGATTTTTTCACACCAAGCTGCTTGCCTATTGTAGATTCACTCTTCCCAGTCTGGTGCAGGTCTACAATACTTTTCCTGGTGTCCTTCGAAAGCTCTTTGGTCTTGGCCATGGCGGAGTTTGGAGTCTGACTGTTTGAGGCTGTGGACAGGTGTCTTTTATACAGATGATGAGTTCAAACAGGTGCCATTCATACAGGTAACGAGTGGGGGACAGAAAAGCTTCTTACAGAAGACGTTACAGGTCTGTGAGAGCCAGAGATTTTCCTTGTTTGAGGTGACCAAATACTTATTTTCCACCCTGATTTACGAATAAATTCTTTACAAATCCTACCATGTGGATTCATGGATTTTTTTTTCACATTCTGTCTCTCACAGTTGAAGTGTACCTCTGGTGCAAATTACTGACCTCTGTCATCATTTTAAGTGGGGGAACTTGCACAATCGGTGGCTGACTAAATACTTTTTTGCCCCACTGTAAGTGTAAGTCTGGTGAATCAGATTTACTGGTAAGCACATAGATTTTTGCAGGGTGAACATCATACAGACCCCCGAATGCTGGTGATGTCAGACTGGGGTGGACACATTGACCTGTATGATATTTGGATCTGTCCTAAGTCCCCAAATTTTAGAACTGAGATTCATGAATTTTTCAAATCAGTTATATGACGGGATATTCCCTTTTCACCAAGATTATTCATTCTAAGGGCTCCATCACTCCTCAAACTTCTTCCAACTAATGTTGTCGAATGGATGCAGACTGCATTAACGTCAAGGCATAAGCTCATTATTTCCCAGTGGAGAGCCTGCTCCAACTTACCTGTTACTCTATGATATAATCAACTAGGATACTGAATAAAGTGCAGAGTTTCCACCTGAAGGGGGATCCCTACCTTTTCAAAATAAAAAAAAAGATCAAACTAAAACTTAGAGTGGGATGGACGTTGGGATCCTGAGGATCTATATGACAACATTGAGTGAGATACACCTTAAGTCCCACATAGATAAATGCTGGCTGGTTATTTTTGTCCCCCATGACACCCGCCCACCCGCTTTTTTTCTTTTCTCTTTGTTTGTTTGTTCTGTTCTCCCCACTCCTCTACTGTTGTGCTGATGCAATCTCTGCCTGATGTGATTTGCATGTACAGTGGACTGTGTTGTTCTGAAAAATTCAAAAAATATTACTCACAAACACAAAAAAAAAAACCTGTCGCCTTCAGGATGCAGTAGCCAACCTGGAGCAGGGCATTGTGACAGAGCGGCAGTGCACACAGCTAGTGGAGCAGCATGAAGCAGCCCAGGACTGGCTGAGGGAGCAGGTTAAAAGCCTGGGACCTCCTCCTGCAGACAGACAGAGTCTGCACAGTGCTGTGAACACCCTTAAGGTGAGAAAATGGCATTCTTTCAAACGGTTGTTTAAGCATCTGTGGTTAGTAACTAACATATAAAATACTAAATATGTTCTATTACAATAAAGATAATGTACTCAAATAAACTGCACCATTAGACAATCTAATAAATGAAGACTGCAGAATTTACTGAGGTTTTTGTCTTTTTATAAATCCATATTGTTTCTTTCTCTGTTATTGAAGTACATAGAAATGTTTGATCGTTTGACTATTACAGAAGTTTTTACAACTTTTAAACTTAAAGTCTTAAAATACTTTACTGGACTTTCTCACATCCCGGCTCTTGTCCTCTTCCCTCCTTCTGGTGCCAGGCTTTGCTCCAGACGGTGGACAGAGAGCAGAGAGAGATGAAGGAGCTGGACTCTGCCAGAGACAGTTTGCTGTACCTCTGCACTCCTGGGGGTCAGGATGCCCTGACCCTAGAGGTTAGCCATCTCCATGACCTCTGTTCTGTCTCAGAGCAGGAGGTGAGGGAGCGTCTGAGGGTCTGTGAGATGCAACTAAATGAACAGGACAGTCAGTTGGCCAAAAGGACCCAGGGGCTGAAGGAGGGAATTGCAGCCCTGCAGTGGGAGCTCCGCTCTCTCGACCAGGCACTCAGTTATAGTGAACCACAAAACAATATCGCTCAACTTGAACAGCACTGGCACAGCCTACAGGTAATTACCACAGATGGAATTTTCAGCTATTTTTTAAGTTATAGTAGCAAGAAAGTTTTGAAAAGTAATGGCTGAAAAAAATAATAATTTGCATTTCTGCATTCTATCTTGGGAAGACACCTTTTGAATAGGCTTTATTGCATTTCCCATTCAGAAATATCAACTCTATGCTCTTTTGTGATGTTGCTGTCTCTTTATGTTAGAATTGTGAGAAGTCCCTGGAGGATTCGGGTGTGAAAATTCATGACCTGCAACAGGAAGTAAACTTGGCATCTTCGACCAATGAGCTGCCAGCAGAAATCATCAGTGGGGTTGACTCGTTATGGGAACAGCATGCCAGGTATCCTGCTGTGAAAATTATGACTTTTATGACTCTGCTTGTTAGACCATGAAACATTCTGAATCCAAATTGTTATGACATTTTATTTCTTATATATATATTTTTTGAAATTTACCTCATGGTATAAAAAGTAGGGAAAAAAGATACCATCCAGCAAAACACTGCCAAACTCCCAACTAGGGTTTCTTAAGTTGTAACCCTGTTTAAATAGATATTTTGTAATGAATTCTAAGCTAGCATCATCTGCCCCTTTCAATTTACTCTTCAATTATTCTTGCCTGCCAGCCACATGCCTTAGTGGGTCATTCTGCTCTTGCTCAACTGCATGGACACACAGAGTTCCCCTGTATTTATAACCTAGATATTAACCTTATATAAATGTTTCAGCTGGTTTTGAAAGACATTTTTTAAAAACAAAATTCACATGTATATAGATGCACACAGATGTATAATTATAGCACTAGAAAAACAAATACTTCTTTATCTTTTTTTTCATCCTGTAAAAATATGTTTTCTTTCTCATATATTATAGTCAGGTAACATGTTAAGTGCTGAGATTACAATAAATTGTTGTTTATTATATCCACAGTCTAAAAAATAGGCTGAGTGAGCATCAGGTTACCTGCTGCACAAACACAGCAACATGCCTCAGGGACTGTCTTCATGCTCTGCAAAAATGGAACCACAGCAAACCATCTGTGTCCCTTTCCTCTGTGCAGGTCTCTTTTCTTCTTATTTGAGTAACACGCTGATTTTATTACTGTTCCTAAATATTAATAATGGACATTAATATTTTGCCTGAGTACTGTATGTTTTCTTAATATCAGACATATTTTAAATGTTTTTCCTTCTGATGTTAGCAGATGTTAGAGGAAGGTGAAAAGTTGCAAGCCAGCCTACAGGAGGCACTTTCTCACCGACATTTTCTAATGGCCTGTCTGACATTGGACTTGCTTGAGAAACTAGAAAAAGAAGGTTCAGAAGCTCTCAGAGAAGCAGACACACTGAAAATTTCTCTAAGTCAGAGCCTAAAGGTATTTGTGCTAAATTATTTGGCCTTGAACATTTCATAAGAAAACTCATAAACATCCATTGTTTGACACAACAAAGCAGTTTAATATCTAATATATTGCTGTATCTTAATTGGATTAAGGAAATATGTTTGTCATAATTAATGGCTTCTTAACCTCTCTATTCAAGGAACTTAATCAAAGAAGTAAACAAAAACTGCCTGACAACCAGTCGTCAGAGAACCTGCAGGAGACAAAGGCCTCTGTGGTGGCACCGCCACGAAAAAGCAAGCGCTCATCTGAGAAAAAAACAGTTTATCCTACTTCTGCTTCAACATCTGTGGTGATACAAAGCTATACTACTTCTCAAGAACCACACACCAAAACTGTAAGGTTAGATATCACAGGTGAGCCTGTTACAAATGAGGCAAATAAGCCTGCTTCTGAGGAACCCACTGTGATGCACAAGGTCACTGAAACTCCTGCTGTTACTGAAGAAACTGAAATTGAACAGCTGTATGCTGAAAAAACAACCAAGGATGAGGCAGAGAATAAGCAAAAGCCTAGTGGTGAGAAATCTCCAATGACTTGTAAGCAAACTAAAGTGGCTGTGGAAAAAAGTGAAATCATTCAAAAAGGTAAGAAGTCAAAGAGTTTTGAGGTCTCTCAGCTTGCAGAGCCAATGTTTCCACTGGAAAAAGTTGCTAGTGTGCAGTCAACAGAGACCAAAGGTGAATCAGACAAGTATAACGTAACATCAGAGTCAGCTGAAACACCTATGGAAAAATCTAGAATATTGCCTATGACGAGAAAATCAAAGAGCGCAGAACTTTGCTTTGATCTTGGTGATATTGAGTTACCTCAGACTAGGGAAGATCCTCAAAGCAAAACTTCTTCTTTGGACTTTAATGGCGAGAACAAAGGTTTTGTTACTGAAAAGAAAAAACCTATACCTGCTGGGTCTTCAACTCCAACTCCAAATATGCCAGAAAAGATAGCTGAAATAACTGATACAGAAAAACGCCAATTTTCACCAAGCACAGGAAAGTCAAAGGCTTTAATGAGTTCTCCAGAATTTCCTTCAGTGGCACAGACACAATCCAAGAAACAGCCTGAAAAGAAGACATCACCATCAGTTCCGGATGTTATCAAAGAACCAAGTGAAAAAGAAACTGAAAGTAAAAAGCCAGATTTACATGGAGTTATGGATAGTGGAAGAGCTGAAACTACTGATGAAAACTTGATAGAGGTTTCAATAATGGACATAAAGTCAAGGCATCCAAAGGTTTATCTTGGTCTTGCTAGCAAAGATCACAATCCAACTACAATACAACATGAGAGTGATATATCATTCTTGCCTACGACAAAGCCAACTGAGACAAAGGAAGAGCCAGATAGTCAGAAATGCCATTTATCTCCAGAGGATGCAACTGCAACAAAAGAAATTACTGCTTTCAATGAAGGAAAGCGTTCCCCATCCAAAAGAAAGTCAAAGAATCGTAAAGCTTCCTCGGAACTTATTAGTATGGATTTGCCTGAGACTTTCAAAGAACCTGAATCTGCGGGTTCCACCGTTAAAGCTAAAATTACCACTTTGGAAAGACCTGAAGTCCCCCCAACCAGGAAATCTTCTGAGAGTCTTGTAGAGTCCAAGAAAATAGAGAAAGAAACAGAAATGGAAAATTTGGGTGGTGAGTGCTGTGTGGATGAGACTGACAGCGTTTCACTGTCATGCTCCTTTGTAGTTGGAATCTGGTCCTTGATTGCAAGCTCAAGGGAAACCTTTGGAATCTCTGGTTGTCTTTCACTTGATGAAAATGCCGTAGACTCTACAGCAACAGTTTCAGTTTTTTCAGTAATCACCTGTACATTTAAAGCTGCGTTTTCCATTTCTGTTTCTTTCTCTATTTTCTTGGACTCTACAAGACTCTCAGAAGATTTCCTGGTTGGGGGGACTTCAGGTCTTTCCAAAGTGGTAATTTTAGCTTCCTTGGTGGAACCCACAGATTCAGGTTCTTTCAAGGTCTCAGGCAAATCCGTACTAATAAGTTCGGAGGAAGCTTTACGAGTCTTTGATTTTCTTTTGGGTGGTGAGCGCTGTGTGGATGAGACTGACAGCGTTTCACTGTCATGCTCCTTTGTAGTTGGAATCTGGTCCTTGATTGCAAGCTCAGGAGAAATCTTTGGAATCTCTGGTTGTCTTTCAGTTGGTGAAAGTTCAGTTGACTCTACAGCAACAGTTTCAGTTTTTCTAGTAATCACCTCTAAATGCAAGGCTATCTTTTCCCTTCCACTTTCTTTCTCTGTGTCCTCAGACTCCACAAGACTCTTTGAAGTTTTCCTTGTTTGGAGGGCTTCAGGTTTTTCCAAAGTGGTAATCTTAGCTTCACGGTGGAACCCACAGATTCAGGTTCTTTCAAAGTCGCAGGCAAATCCGTACTAATAAGTTCTGAGGAAGCTTTACGACTCTTTGACTTTCTTTTGGGTGGTGAGTGCTGTGTGGTGAG